CTAGCGCTAATTCTAACCCTAACCCTAGACTTTGCCCCAATGCTTACCCTAACCCTAACCTACAATCTCGCGAACATTCAGGTGCCCTAACCTTATTTACATCTCGGTAACCTTGACAAAAATTGAGCTGGTCTTAACAAATAGATTTAGTTGTTAGTGATAGAATCTTAATAACTTTATTTTGTCTTACACAGGAAGACGACGAAGAAGAGGAAGATATGGAAACAGAGACAGGTGAACCAGCAGAAACAACTGATGGTGTAGATGCTCCAACGACTGAAGACGAAACTACAAAAGTTGACAATGTAAGTTTTATAAAATACATGTCGAATATCATTATTGTTTGTGCCATTTTTGAAACAACTCATTTTGTTAAATTTAATATTATTTGTAATAAAATTTGAATAAGAGCACAGGTGGTCAGAGAATTTTCTCATTAATTTTATAATATTTTTTGCTGTCAATATAGACTTACCTATTTACATATATTGATTGAAATTTTATTAGCTTTATTTTTTTCAGTATAATCAATTTTACTGATCATACGTGCTGTATTAAATTTAAATATTCAATAAATCAATTAATATATTGACTAACAAGTTATGTTTTTTAAAGATACATTATGCAAGAGCATATGCATGTTACATGTATATAAACTATTAGACATTTATTAACAAAACAAGACCATAATCAACTCTCGATGGCATCTGTTTTCTCCGATATTAAATAGATTAGAACTGTTCAGCCATATTTTGATTTAAGCTAAAAATGGAGGAGCGAGACATAGCTTCGAACAACCAGTGTGGTGGTTGAAATTAATGCACACGTCTTGTCAAACCTTCAAAGGCTAATGTCTTCGCTTGCAATAGAGTAATTTAAATGAAATTTTCAAATTATTCATTTTGCATTATCTATTTTCGAACTATTATAGCAAGAATGGCTAGCTCTTTATCTAAATTTTACATAATATATCTTTAAATATTCAGTAAAAACAAAAGAATATTTTTATTAGATCTCGATTGGAAATGAAAAGAAGTTGTACTTGTAAATCAGTAAAGTTGGGTTATTATAAATGTTCTACCTCTGCTTGGATGGCTGTATCATAAGGTCTGTGATTAAGTCAACTAGCATGGTTTCGATTCCCTAGTTGTGCGTGACAGGGTGTAGGGTTGTCTGTCCAACCTTGTGGGTTTTCTCCAAGTCCTCCGGTTTCCTCCCACTGCTAAAGGCCACTATGCGCAAGCGCATTATTGAAATAAAATTGAACCGAAATGACCTAGTTTGTGTCGAGTGGACGTTAAACCCCATTTCTCTGTTTCTCTCTCATCTGACGATGTTATATATTGTTTATTATTCAGGCTGAAATTGAAAAAACAGTTGAAAAAAAAGCTGAATCGAAGGTATAGTTGTAGATATATCTAACTCAAACTTTCAAACAAATATTCCATTTTATTTTTATAAGCCTACTTTTCAGACAGAGTGTATTATATAGTCAATATTCGATTTATTTTTATAAGCCCACGTTTCAGTGTGTTAATTAGTCGCCCCTGTCAGTCTGTTTCATCATAAATTGGCTAAGGTTTAGACAAAAAAAGATTCAAACATAGTGTGAAGCATTGGGGTTATGATAGGACGAACCCTATCAATATTCACTGTCATATAAACTACTACCACCACCACACTATTGATTGTGTGTGAACACGTAGACAATCTTATTTCTTGAAGGCATGAAGGCTCCTTATAGAATTAACTTTTTTTCTTGAGACATAGCTGTTGTGGCGACAGATATCAACACTTTGCATGGCTATCTTTATTTCACTTCTGTACTCATTATTCATAACTGGATGCATTGTTTTGTTGTTTTTTTTGTGGGGATTGAGTTGTTTTTTTTTTGGTTGGGGGGGGGGGGAGGAGTCTTATTTTAATTTTTATTTATATATTTAAAGTTATAACTAGACATATTATTTTTTATAACATATTTTAACATTTTTGTTTGTTTTAATTTTTTTTAAACTGAATGTATTTTAATAATTTTTGTTGGTGTGTGTGTGTGTTCCATATATATCTATATTTTTACTTTGTTCCCTGCAGCTAACAAACATATTCACAAGCACTCAGTTTATACATGTAGTTTTAACATCATAAATCAAGTAGCTTAGAAAGCATGATCTTGTTTCAGGAACCAGTTAAAGATGAAAATCAGTCTAATCTAAATAACAAAGACGAAATCTCTAAGGTACAAGTTGAATTATTTAGGTCAAGATATTCTCTTAGGTTTATTAGTAAATTTAAAAGTAAGATCAGTTCTAATCTAATTAGTATTAGATGTCACTAGAGGAATCTCTAAGGTACAAGTTTAATTATTTAGGTCAAGATAGCTTCTTGGGTATATTATTAGCAAATTTAAAAGTAAGATCAATACTAATTTGTATTAGATGCCATGAGGGGAATAAAATAAACCAGTTAGCTAATTATTTACAAGAATTATTGATAGTAATGAACAGGAAAATAAAAGATTAATATCTGGGAAGTTGTTGGTTACATGTGTTGTATTGAAGAGTGTATAAATTCAGACAGCTGTTGGTTTAATCTTTATTTAAGCTTGATCAAGTTGGTATTGTTAGGTACTTTGTGATAGTCATTGACTGCTTAACCCAATAACTTGCTTGAATGATTTTTACTTTTAAACAATAAGAATGGAGATGTCCTAGATACATTTTAGTGAATAAAGCTTAATTTTGTGAATAAAACATTTTGTGAAATGTTCTGTCTTGAACTTTTTCGATGGAATATGAACTGTCATTGCTTGTTTTGTTGGAGATTGAATAATAATATGAAATTAAGAGAATGGTTAGCACTGCATACTGTATCATAATGTCTGTGATTGAGTCAACTGGTGTGGTTTTGATTTCCCAGTCATACATGGCAAGGAGTAGGGTTGCCTGTCCAACCTTGTGGGTTTTCTCCGGGTCCTCCGGTTTCCTCCCACTGCTAAAGCCCCCTACCTTCAAGCAAATTATTGAAATAAAATTTAACCATGTTAGTCCTGAACTGACCAAGTTTGTGTCAACCCTCTCTCTCTCTCTCTCTCTCTCTCGAAATTTACCTGTACTTGCCAACATAGTATAAAAATGTTAAAAAAACCTTCTCATTTGTAATTAATGATTATAATAAAGAAATTTAGCTGTTAATATATAACAATGTGACGAAAGCTACAATTTGATTGTACATTTATTACAGAATGAAGTCAATGGTAATAAAACTGAAGATAATACTGAAAAGGTAGTTGGATAATAAACTTTATTGCTTTTTTTCTCATTACTAATTTGTACGAAGATTTTAATTGGTGGTGATTTTTACATAAATGTCATCTTCAGTAGAATTCTTGATCTCGCTTTAACTCTGTACATCTTACCAAGGCCTTCACGTCATACCCTGCATCTTTCAGCACTGATTTCGATTGGGTATTCACCCAGCTTGAGAGCTTATCAGATTCCTTGATCATCGCGAATACCAAGTCTCGCGCTTTCCAGCTTTTATGTCTACATGTGATAATCGAGTTGCAAAGTTCAAAGTTTGTTCAATGTCAAGGTTTCCGTGGAGGTTGCTATGGTTGATTTGATTGTCTTTGTGTCACGACTTCTGACTGTTCACGTTTCTGCAGTAAAGGGAGAAAACGTAGCTATGGAGTATAAGTTTGGGAATTTAAAAGTAATCTAGGAACGTCCAGATGTAAAATTCGCAGTCGTTGCTTCAGGAATATGCATAAACATACGAGATTAACAAATGGGTCAAGATGGAAAACTTTAAATCCACGCTAATATAAACTCAGATTGATTATTTAACATTTAATTAAAGATACATTATGGGAGATAAGATAAAGAGATGGCAGTTTTCTCTCCATAATAATTAAAAACTAGATAGTGTAATGGTAATTTGCTGAAAATTTCAGTCAAATTGATCCACTGTGAGCCGAGAAAGAAGCGGGTGAAATTTTTGCATAGTCTCGGTCATCATTACTAAAATCATTAATATAAACAGCATAGTCTCGATTATCCACTTTTTTTTGATTTAATTATCAATGGCCGTTAGCGGCATATAGGAATCTAATCCAGCCAACAACGAATGCTAGCGTTGACATCAAGAGTTTATTATGGTCTGGATTAGTTAAATAATGTCAAATTGATAATTTAGATAACTTTTCACTCCTAAAGAAAGACTTGTAATAAGCAGATTTTGCTATTGCATAATGTATGTTTAAGAGAACATTATAGACACAAGATAATGTCCTGGCTTGGATTCAAGTGAATTTAAAATAGACCTATCATTAAATGTCCGTGGACAACAAAATGGTGACTAGCTAATTGCATAGCGAGCATCATAGATCGATGAAATTCCAATTCAACATATCTTTGTATATACGGAAAGGAATTGAACCATTTTTGGACTGATTCCTATTAGAAATTCATCTTTCCAAAAAAATTATAGTAGGCAAATGTGATCTCTATTGCTTTAAATGGTGCATCAGTACTGTTATAGAGCAAATGAAACTTCACAATATTTTACTAAATAGAGAAACACAAGGTTCGTTTGCATGATTATGATTTTAATAACTCATCCTCGTATTCCATCTGGCAGTCACTGTGGCTAAGTGGGTAAAACGCTGGCTATGTGCCGGATAAGCAGTTTTGACGTTTACGTCCAAACGATTCTAATGTTATGAGCTAAAATTTTGAGACTGGGTAAATGCACCATTCCTCAATATTTTAACGCTTAAATTTCAGACGTACTCAGACTATTATTTTTGAGACTGTTCAAATCGTCCTAGTCCCTGTAAGGAAAAGAAACTTGAGTATTATTGATCTGAAGATACATGTTGATTTTAAACATTTCAGAAAGTGGAAGGTAAATCAGAAGAAAGCATGGCAACTGAAACTACTGAAGGTAAAACTAATGTAATATACGATAAATAAATTTTAAATATGGCTCTTACAATAATACAATACACAAATTTAATCAAAGATTAAAATCAAAAATACTATATTCTCAAAATAATGGCTGTATTGTGGAAATGATAACCAGTCCGAGGTAGTGAGAATAAATACCTGAGTAAAAAGTATTTAGATGGATATGGTGTATGTATAGAGAATTAAAACACATGTTTTCATGTGGGTTTTGAGCACACTAGTATGAGGAGGAAATCAAATAGAAGAGACATGGAAGAAGCAGATGAACAACTGATGTTACACTTACCACAAGATATTTCGTCTGGCTGATGCATGTGTATTTTTTTTAAAATTGCAAACCCGAGAGGACATTGATCAAAAGCATCGTGTGATACGATTTATTTGTTGTATATTAATTAAAATACTAGATATGAGGACAATAGTGACGGAAGTGACACGTTAATACCATCAAACATACACGAACTGAATCCACTTGAATAAAGCTTCAAAGATAAGTTTACAAGATGTAAAAATATGTACATAATGAATTCATGGTCAGCAGAATTGTGCTAAATAAACTATGACAGAACTATTTACGAAGGAATGTGATGTCGAAGATAGGTGTAAAATGGAGTATGGTATCCTGATATCTTAATCTGTTTGTTTTTTTTAATATTGTGTGCCGGTAAGTGGGTTCATACTATATTTATATTTGCTATCATAACAAGATCCTAACCATCTTTTCCAATGAATTTCTTTAGCACCCCCTGTGGATGCTGGTCAAGTGAAAATGGAAACCGAGCAAAAACCAGAAGTTGAAACAAAGAAGGAAGAAACTGATGTCAAGTCCGACTCAGAAGTGAAAGAAAAACAACCAGAAGCAGTGACAGACAAGACAGCAGAAGTGAAGACAACAGAAACACCAGTCAACAATACATCCAACACCTCCCCTAAAGTGACGAAACCAGCCCCGAAAACTCCAACAACAGCCAAGACCACCCCAGCAGCAAAAGTACAGACAGCTAATAAAACAGAGACAACACCTAAATCGGCTACAGGAGCTGCTAAAGTAGGAAATGGTACCACAAAAACTCCAACATCGGGTGCAAAGGTGGCAGCTAAAGGTGCTATATTTGAGGCAAACGATGACTCATTTGATCTAAGGGTAGATGACACTCAGATGAGTGAAATAGATGCTGATCTTCTGAACTCTCAGGGTGAACAAAAGGTGAGTGCTAAAACAGAAGCTACGACTACAGATTCATCAACGGCAGAAAACCAAGTAACCACTCCAGAAACGGACAAAAAGGTAGAAGCTGAGAAAACGGACAAGGGCAAGTCTTCTGAAGATAAATCGGATAAGAAGGAAGAAAAGAAAGGAGAAGAAAAGAAGGATATCAAAGATAGCAAATCAACATCCAAGAGGTTGGTTGGGTTTGTATGATGCCTTTAGCATACACCAAATGCTTGATATGCTGAAGAACAAAACCATCAATTTCTGCACCCCTTTTAATGGTTCCTTGTGGTTACAGCTTCCCTCCTTCAAATTAGATCTTGTACAGTTGGATGTTGGGTTTCTAGTTTTCTTAGTTTTTTTTCTTTTTAAAGAAAAAGTTGAATTTTATTGATATCTAAATTGTGATTAAATCAACAACTTCCACTCTGTCTCCCCTATATTACGTTGTTTTTTGGTATTTTATTATTTCCATTACATGGATGGCGATATTTCAAAATGCATTGAGAAAGATATTGTAAAAGATGTACCGGAACTCGTATTGGAGTGTGGAGAGTCCATGAAAGCAGTTCAACAAAATAAATGGATTAAAGAATGTGTTTTATTTTCGTAATTGGTTCAGAACGAAAAAATTCGTGAAAGAAATTTATAGGGCGTTGACCTCATTATTTTTACCGATTGTGTCTTTTTTTCTCTGGAGTGAATTATGTTCATTCATTGGTCTTAACATACATTTACATTAAGGTGATGGTTTTCACTTTTGATTACATTTCTATTCGTTATGACACACGCCTCCAAGTTATAACTCTTATTAGCAACATTTAGAAACGGAAGGTTTATTAAATTAAATATATCATCCTTGATTTATTAGTGTAAGAATAGAAGCATAATAATTATATTTATAAATTACAGTTCATCTCAGAGCACAAGAGATTCAAAATCAAAAGACAGCAAAGGTAAGAAATATACATTATTCAAAAAGATTGAATTTCTAAAGAGGGAGTTTCCTAAATTCAAATCCTAGTATGGGGTTGAGTAGAACCTTTGTAAAGGGGCATTATGGAAGATTAGATAAAGAGCTGATAGTTCTCACTGTAATAGTTAAAAAATAGATAATGTAAATGGTATATGCTGAAAATTTCAGTCAAATTGCTTCACTCTGAGCCAAGAAATTCTCATATCAATTTCATGGTAGCCTTGATTGTCATTGTTACCATTGTTACAGTAATAAACAAAGACCTGATTATCCATTTTGGGGTTAAGGCCTGAAGAAAGACCTGCAATAGGCAGATTTAGTTCTTGCATAATGTATGTTTAATTAGTACTTATAAAGAAAACGGTTACAATCTTGAAAAATAATGAAGACAACGAATTAAAAATCACTTATTTAGTATTAATCGAACACTTTGTGAGCCATTTTGGCCAAAATGAATTTTGTTTATGTTCGTTTTGAGTTTGACCATATCTGGTTTATGTCATCTGCAGAGGATACCAAACGTTGCAAGATATTCACATCTTCATTAATACTGGATGGAGTTAAATATTTCTCAATCTGGTTAAAACACAGATCTTATTTCGTTTCGTTTTTATAGTTCAAAATTTTGTTTTACTTGTCTTTACTACACTTGGATCTGGAAGAGTTGTTATTTAACTCGTGTTCTGAATGGTGTCAGGGATAAGCCAATGAAACGGTCTGGTTTTTCACGGAACTGTGGGTAATCCACTAGTAACATCAATGCTGATAGGTTAATCAAATGTCCGACGTCAAAAGGGTCATAAGTCGGTCTTTTGACCCCTGACGTGACCTATCGCTATAACTTGTCAGATCTTCATGTAGTGTAAGCCATCGAAAGTATAAAAAAACGAAATGAAATATAGATCTGTATTTCAATCTGATTGAATAACTCTATATGTACATGTACCTTAGAATAAGAAAAAATATAATGCAAGTAGAATGTTATTGTACAATTTGTATTTTGTTTTTCATGCAGGAAGTTCCTCTTCGAGTCGTAACTTGTGGGTGAGCGGTTTATCATCGTTTACTAGAGCTACAGCACTCAAACAACTCTTCAGTAAATATGGCAAGGTAATAGCTTCACTTTTCTTATATTGGGTTTATCCCAATTTTGTGTCCATCTTCATTAGTCCAGTCAGAACAGAACAGTAGGATCTTTAACCCCATTTTATTTCATAACACAAAATTGGAAATGAAATAAAATGGGGTTTAACGTCCTAGTGTTCTGCTCCGACTGGGCTAATGAATACAGGATTGGCCGTAGAAAATTCATTCCAGTAGCTTACGTGTATTACCACATGCTCTATCGATAGAAAACACACCAACTTGGATAATTTTTAGTTGTGATACAATAACTTCGAAATAAAGATAAATATAGGGATATCATGTGTGTGAAACCAGAATATTCGTTTAATGGCCAGGTCAAAATTATTTAAAAATAATTAAAGATATATTTCCTCGACATCCATGCATCCTAAATACATAATCAACAATTATATGGAAAAAATATCTTGAAATACAAGGAAAATATATTTGTTGACAAAAACACATTTTTTAATATTTTAGACAATATACAAATTTTTAACGTAGTTGATACTATATATTTACAGGTAGTTGGAGCTAAGGTTGTTACGAATGCCAGAAGACCAGGTTCACGTTGTTATGGGTTTGTTACCATGTCAACTGTTGAAGAAGCAACTAAATGTATACAACATCTTCATAGAACAGAACTTCACAGTAAAATGATCTCCGTTGAAAGGGTAGGTACATTTCATTTTCTTTTAGCATTTTCAGAACATTCACCTACCCTTAACTAATTCTGTGTGGTGCAGTCCCCCTGCACTTAATAATAGTACACAGTAAAATGGTCTCTGTGAAAGGGTAGGTACATTTTATTTTCTTTTTCAGAACCTTACCTTAACTACAGATATGCACAGCTGCGACTGCTCAAGGGGGGTTGGATGCCCGAATGGTTAGCACCTGTGCGCTGTATCATAAAGCCTGTCATCGAGTCAACTGGCGTGGTTTCGAATCCCAGGTTGTTCGTGACAAGGAGTAGGGTCGCCTGTCCAACCTCGTGGGTTTTCTCCGGGTCCTCCGGTTTCCTCCCACTGCTAAATATCCCTACGCGCAAGCGAATTATTGAAATAAAATTAAACCATGTTAGTCCCAAAACGACCTAGTTTGTGTCGAGTGGACATTAAACCCTCTCTCTCTCTCTCTCCTCTCCTCTCCTCTCCTCTCTCTCTCTCTCTCTCTCAAACATGCTACCTATTTTTGAGTTACTCATGTTGAATATCAATTATTCAAAACTAATCCAGATTTCTTCATCTCAGTAAAACTCATCTGGAATAGTTTAAATTGATCAAATGTGTATAAACATTGCAAGATGTGCATGGAAACAGTGTCATATCCAAAAATCCAGAACACAGAATGTAAACTTTAGATGTTGTTGGCTTAAGATAACATGGCTTGAATTTTAAAAAAAAAATTTCAAGTACAATATACTGAAGTTTGAAACATTGAATTGTATGAATGATTCCTAACAAGATATTTCTATTATCATAATGCAGGCTAAGAATGAACCAGGAACATCATCTACCTCTCATAAATCCGATGATAAACGTTCATCAGACGATAAGCGATCTTCAGATGATAGGCGATCATCAGTTGATAAACGATCATCAACTGATAAACGATCATCAAGCAGCACTAGAAAAGATGGTAAATAACTTTAATAGTAATGTTTTATCAATAGAACATTTAGTTGGCTGAGAGGAGGGGGGAGGGCAAATGGTGAATGCGTGCGCATAGTATCATTAGGTCTGTAATTGAGTCAGCTGGCGTGGTTTTCGATTCCTGGGTTGTATGTGACAAGAAGTAGGGTCCTCTGGTTTCCTCCCACTGTTACAGACCCCTACGCGCAAGCGAATTATTGAAATAAAATTAAACCATGTTATTCCCGAAATGACCTAGTTTGTGTCACATGAACGTTAAACCCCATTTCTCTCTCTTTAGTTGGCTGAGAAAGTTTTATCGTGATTTTCCAGCTTGGTTTCTCTTTTGTAGGAAAGGAACGACATCTAGTTGTCCTAAAGACAAGCTGAAATTCGAATGTGGCTGATTACATTTTAGAGTTACAAAATATTGCAAACGGAGCCTAGCAATTGGTTGCGACCGCTCAGAAACATGCTGCCTATTTTGGGGTTACTCAAAGTTGTATTGCTATGTAATGTCTTTTCCCCACATCCAATTCTACCAATGCAATTGGACAAAAATTTGTGATTGTCGAATTTACTAGGTTTAAGTACCCTGCAAATAGTTACGAAAGTTTGATCTGATTAAGGAAATAAATATATTGCAAACGGTTGCGACCACTCGAAAACATGCTACCGGATTTCTGCAAATAACCATAGTTTAATCCTTATAAGACATATAGAAATAGATTTCACTAAAAATAAAACACACTTATATGGATATACTACTTCTGAATTTATTAACATGCTACGTTTCGATACACATACAGATATCGTTTTCAAGCAAATTATTTGCTTGAAAACGATATCTGTATGTGTATCGAAACGTAGCATGTTAATAAATTCAGAAGTAGTATATCCATATAAGTGTGTTTTATTTTTATAACCATAGTTATCAAAGTTTGATCTGATCAAGATTGGTTAAAAATTGTTGAGCTTTTAGAACTCGAGAAGTGTGTGAAATTACAAAAAAAAAATCATTATTTTTTTTAGATAAAAAAGATGGTGATAGAAAGGATGATAAGAAGGATGATAGAAAAAGTGATAAGAAGGAGGATAAAAAGGTTGAAGAAAAGAAGGATGAGAAGAAAGTAGAAAAAAAGGATGATAAAAAGACACCAAGTAAAACAGAATCTAAGGATGGTAAAAAAGAGGAGGAAAAGAAAGATGATAAAGCCAAGGAAGACAAAACACCCAAGAAAGATGACAAGACGCCCAAGAAGGAGGAGCCAAAATCGGACTCAAAATCAACCAAATCAAGTGAGAAGAAAGATCCTTCTAAAGGTAGGGCTGTTCTAGAAACAGTGACAATTAAGTACCCTATAAACATTTGTATCTAAAGCAGCTAGACATGGGATATCTCAAGTTATAGTGATGGTGACAGAATTGGCCTTGGCTGAGTAATTAAATTTTTACGACTTTTGATTTTATTGTAAAAAATATTTCTGAAGCAGCTAGAAATGGGATATCTCAAGTTATGATGATGGTGACAGAATTAGCCTTGACTGAGTAATTAAATCTTTACGACTTGTGATTTTCTTGTAAAAATTATCTCTTGTGAAATAATTGACCTTGATTAAGTAATTAAGTCTTTACAACTTGTCATTTTATTGTAAAAAGTATCTCTTTGCGAAAAAATTGCTGATGAAATTTTATTTACTTTCTGATGTACAAAATATGTACAGTTTGATAGTAAACTTAGTTTCTAGAACAGCCCGAAATATTTGTAAATTAAATTCAAGACTTAGTCTTCACAATGCAAGTTTAATACATTTAAAAAATTAATGATATAAATTAAAGTAATGAAATTTAAGACTTGGTATTCTCAGAGTGTAAGAGTAATACCTTTATAAAATTAATTAAATTTGTTTAATATATTTTTAAATAGAAAAATTGTGAAAAATACTGATGAATTGTCTTGTTTATTCAGAAGATAAAAAAGAGGGAGATAAAAAGAGTGAAAGTGATAAAGATAAAGATAGAAAAAGTTCTCGACCAAGATCAGAAAGGGGGAGGTCAAGAGATCATTCAAAGGGTCGCTCTAAAGATATTTTATCTTTTGAACAAATCCGAGTATGTATTTAAAACTGATTTATGTTCAATAGCATCTGGGCCCTGTTTCTCGAAATCTTAACTAAAGATAAAATCCAAATTTTAGTAGCTTCAATTTTGATTGGCTAAGCACTAAAATCAGTCTAATATTATCCAATCAAATTACTAAAATTTGGATTTTATCTTAGTTAAAACTTCGTGAAACAGGCCCCTGAATTTTGATAGACTTCTTCCTGATGATTAGTTGAACATTCCTAGCAAATTTTAAATGTTTCAGAGAAGGGGCTGTAATATTCTCACAAATTAAGACTTCCTTCCTTGAACAATTTTTTCCGACTTGGTTTCCTCTTGTCACTGGTGCAGGACGGAGGGCCTAATAAGGACAGCTGTCTAGTCATTCGGATGGGATAAAAAAAACGCCTAGGTCCTGTGTATACTTTGGCGTGCATGTAAAAGATCCCTTGGCAGTTGGATTTCAATATAAGAGTTGGCCATAGTGCTGCTGCCTGTGCAAAATTTCCCTCATAGCAAACTATATGGCAAATGCCGGTCTTCATTAGCCCAGTATAGAAGCAGAATAGTAGGACGTTAAACACCATTTCATTGAACAATTCCACCAGCAAGTTTGAAAAAGATCTCGATAACTCCCATCTGCCCAGTATTGAAAAGGATTTAAAGTAGCTTAGTCTTTAACTCAATATCATCCAAAGTCTTCGACTTAGCTTCTTTAATAGCAATTGCTGTAACTCTTAATTTTTTATTCATTTTTGTGTCTTGTGTTTTTATTAGGCTGAGCGTGAAAGAGAAAGGATTTTACAGAAAGAAAGACAAATGAGAGATGAGGAGAGACGTAGATTAGAAAGACAACAAAATCGACAAAAAGAAGTTCATATACGACAGAGAGAAGAGGCTGTCCGACTAAAGAGAGAACATGAAAAAATAAGGTACAATCTTTATAGTCCATGTTTTTAAGAAATCGGTAGGTTGGTTGACTAGTTGTAGTACATATTTTGCAGATCCAAGGGTTGTCAAATAAAGATTGTATGTTCCGGTCATCCTGAAATAATCTTGTTTTAGAGTGGGGGGGGGAGAGATGCGGTGGTTCGGTATTCGTATTCAACCCCTTTTGTCTCGGGCTAGTATCACTCAAGACAGTATTGCAAATACCCATTTCTTTGAGACACCACCATGGTCTATATCTCCCCCCAAGATCGATCCCGATCTTACAAAAAACAAAAAGAAAGATACTAGTTCCACAGTGTTTCAATCTCTCTTCAGAGAGTTAAGGTCTAAATATGGTGATTATGCTCCAATATTGGTGTAATTGGCTATGATTTATTTGTCCCATTGAACTATAGTTTAATTTTAGTATGTTATATTAATTTACAGATTAGAAAGAGAGAGAATAGAGAGAGAGAAATTAGAAATAGAGAGATTACGACTTGAAAGAGAAAAATTAGAAAGAGAAAAGGAGGAGTTACTACGCCAAGAAAGATTAAGGTACAATAGTACTCTTTGAGTATTGAAGAAAAAATTAAAAGCCATGTAAACCATAAACACAACGGCTATTAAGCGGGGAGGATATGATTAATTTTGTTCTGAAATGTTAAAGCTATTGAATTGAATATATTTAGAAAATGTAATAAACAAAGGAAAATTAACATTAAAAAACAATTGTTGCCAGGGTAATGCATCTTTTGGGAAAAAATTATGAAAAATGTAGGTACGTTATATCTCTGTAACTAATTAAGATATTTTCGCAAAATTTGCAGGATATATAAACTAATATCTACCACAGAATCAGACAGAAAACAATTTGAATTATCATTAATATTTCAAAAGTTATCAAAATACTTCTTCAAAGACAAAATATTGTAGTGAGGCAAATGTTTTAAACATCATTTTCCAAGAAACTATAAAAATTATAGAGAAAAACTTTGTCTGGTTTTAGGGTTATCATTAAAGAATAAGCAGTCGGATAAGGAGACATTTATCTTATTATCAAAGATATGGTGTACCTACGTTATTCATACTTTTTCCTAAAAAATGTGTTGCCCTGGCAACAATTTTTTTTTCCTTTTTTTTTAATGTTAGTTTTCCCTTGTTTATTACATTTCCTAACTACTTGTAGCATTTTCAATTCAATAGCTTTAGAATTTCAGAAAATATTTTTTGGGTAGCCCTCAGCCCTTAAACCTACAAATATATACTGATTTCAGCAAGAAACTATACCAAAAAAAACTTCTTACAGTTTTTATTTTCCTAAATATCTTTTTATTTACAAATATTTTAATGGGTGGTCTATCATGGTCATGCTATAGCTTCTGGTATAGTCGTTATATTATTGAGATGATTATCTACTATTTAAGAAATTAAATATTTTGATAAATGACAGTTGTTTTTATGATATTTATAGACTAGAAATGGAAAGAAGAGCGTTAAAGAGACCATATGAAAGTCGTAGTAGAGATGATGATTATGGTGTAGGTGGTAAACGAGCTACATTAGAAACGAGATATGATCCGTATGATACTAGGTAAAATACATAATAAACATTATTCATGGTTATATCAGAAATTGATGATGGGTCTGAAGATCATGGGAAGGGTAATATTACTCCCACTCTACACAAAATCCCTGTTATTTTAGTTTGGTGATGGTTAAAATGATCCCTGTACATGTTTATACAACCTTATAGAATTAGGATCTCATATTGTCTTCATCCCAGTCTGTTCGACCGTCATCTACCGCAATTCCTTGTGGATGCTCTAGAAGCTATTTATTGAAATTTATACACAAATTTGAATTGTTTGATAATTACTGCTCTTGATGAGTTTTTATTGTGTTGAATGTTTTACATTACTTACAAAAAAAACCAACACAATTATGGACTGCCAGGACGACTTAGCTGCTTTGGGTATATACTTTGTTGCCTGGCAAACTGTTTTTTTTCTGGTGAGGTTCGTGTCATATGTTTTGATTATAAAATATTGGGAAACAAAACCGGAAGCAATTACAGAAGGACAAGATTATAATTTGAAACCAGAAAAAATACACCATATTGGAAGATGGGTGGATGGATGGATGTTAGTGCCATTATTCAAATAAGAATTTATGAAAGACAGCCTGATGTAAAGCCTGAATGATACCAGGAACAGTTTATAAGGACAGGTTTTGTATCCCATCGAACAAGTATTGTTTATGAGACATGTTTTGAGTTTCAGAAGAGACAGTGGTACAGGTAGATACCATGATCGTACTAGTAGTTCTGGTACAGGTACTGATAGAAAGGTAGAAAGATACGATAGACGAGGTTCAGATACTACTAGTGATCGTCGAGATAGAGGTCGTCATGATACGAGTAGAGATGATAAACGTAATGATGATAGATATACAAAGTAAGTTTTATTCTTCAAACAGAATGAAATACAACATTACATTTTTTCTGTCTGATATATTTCTAATGATTACATTTTTTCTGTCCGATATATTTCTGATGATTACATTTTTTCTGTCCGATATATTTCTGATGATTACAGTTATTCCAATCTGATTAAAATACAGATCTATATTTCGTTTCATTTTTTTTATACTTTCAATGGCCTCTACTACATGAATATCTGACCAGTTGTAGTAGGAGGTTGCATCAGAGGTCATACAAGCATTTTTTTTTTTGACCCTATAAAGTTTGATTAACCAATCAGCTTTGATGTTTCTAGTAGGTTACTCACAGTTCCATGCAACTCCCGCCAAAAACTCCCTATAACAGACCGCTTCTTTGGCTAATCCCAAACATAAATAAGAACGTGGGTTATATCACAACTCTTCCAGATCATAGTGTAGTAAAGACAAGTAAAACGAAATTTGGAAGTATAAAAAAATGAAACGAAATAGGATCTGTGTTTTAATCAGATTACAGTTCTATCTGATCTATTTCTAATAATAGATTGCTAGTAGTACAGGTAGATTAGTTGCACCCTTTTTATTTGATGCTTACTTTTACCAACCTTGTAGATTGTGTTTAGCACAAACTTAAAATCCCTATCCAAACCCTAGTTCCTACCCTATCTGTTCAAACTGAAATAAAAAAAAAATATTCTGAATACTTGTCAGTAAGTTTCTACATTTTGCACATTTAACAAATACATTAGATTCAAATAGGTGTTTTATATCACTGTAAAAGGTCAGAGGTCAGTTCATAAACAGTCAATGATATTAACATTCAAAGCAGTGGGACACAGCTTCCCCATTTGTCTTGCATAAAGATTAAATCAGAATATAATTGACTCCTGGACGTTAAAATCTATCAAAGAAAATATAATAATTTGTTTGCGAGTACGTTAAAATACGATTGATTTTATGCTGAGATCGGCAGTTCATATAACAATTTCTTCAAAACTATGTAGAACATATTCTATGGAATACAATTACTGCTTATAACTGAGCGACATTTCGAATAGGCTTCTCTTGTCATTAACAAGCAATGATAAAATATGAAAATATAACAAGACAATATATACATGTACACAACAATACTTAGTTAATGCTGACAAACCAGAGATACCCCTTAATTACAAGTTATATTTTCATATTTTATCATTGCTTGATAATGACTAGAGAAGCCGAGTTGACGCATTGCTCAATAATAAGCAGTAATTGTATTCCATAGAATTGGGACCTATCTATTCCAGTTCAATTACTAAATGCCATTGAAACAATTTATGTAGAACATGTTGATTTTAATTATTATAGTCCCGAAATGACCTAGTCTGTGTTGAGTGGACGTTAAACCCCAATTCTCTTAAGTAAACCATTATGCACATGTAGAGAATTAACAGTTTTTGAAGCCAGGTCCCATTGCTTTCAGTGTTAAAAATAATGACGTCAGGGTGATGTGAACATGGGTTATATGTTTAATATTAATGAACATTGTTATATGTATGAATTGTATTATATAGTACAAGTAGTTCACGATATGGTACAGCTGATAGAAGTGATAGAGTTAGAGATAGAAGTGGTAGTAGAAATGAACGTACTAGTACTACTAGTCATACAGGTAGTGGTAGAGCAGACTGGAAAGCAGATAGAACAACACCGTCACATACAAGAGGTGTGTACTAAATAAAGATATTATTAAAGCATTGTGAACTAGCCTTCTACTGTAAACAAGGGGGTGGGATGGTTAACACGTGTATGGTTAGCATTATTGAAATAAAATTGAACCATATGTTAGTCCCGAAATGACCTGTAAATCATTACTTTCTATATAAATCCTAAGGCTGACACTATTTGTCTCCTTCCTCTATTGGAAGATCTCTACCGTGCTGCTGATTTGAACTCTTTCACCCGCAGAAGGTAACCCATCTCTTCCATTCGGGACCTAAAAGGAACTGAAGATAAAATGGTGGAATGTTGATAATGGTTTATAAACTGATCCCATCAACCATACCTGTTTCTGCTCTTCACTCAACCCGTCTTCATTAGCCCATTTCGGAACAGAACAGTAGGACGTTAAACCCCATTTCATTTCTTTTCACTCAATTCACATGCCTGGAAGAGTCTTCTGAAAGAGCTGCTACTGCTTTTGGGTGTTTGAAATCGAGTCAGCCTCAACTATTTAACCCTTTAAGCCTATATATATATATATATATATGGAGATAAAACCTCGGTTCCTTTATGATTAATCATTACAACAGACTATTTGTGCACACTTGTTTTGATATTTATTTTTGATGTGTGTTAATTTGTTTACAGATAGTCATGGTACAGATTCTAGAATGGTAATGTCTGGTGGACGTGATACATGGCAAGGAAATGCCAGTAAGTATACACAATATGGTAATCAATCATATCCAAGCCAAAAAGGGGGGTAGGATGGCCGAATGGCTAGCACGTGCGTGCTGTATCATACGGCCTGTCATTGAGTCAACTGGCGTGGTTTCGAATCTCCGGTTGTGCGTGACAAGGAGTAGGGTCGCCTGTCCAATCTCGTGGGTTTTCTCTGGGTCCTCTGGTTTCCTCCCACTGCTAAAGACCCCTACGCGCAAGCGAATTATTGAAATAAAATTAAACCATATGTTAGTCCCGAAATGACCTAGTTAGTGTGGAGTGGACCTTAAACTCCATTTCTCTCTCTCCCATACATGGAGTTAAACACTGTTTAGACAAAATTGTTTTCCATACTATAAATTAAGTTAAAAAAAACTTAAAATTAATTAATGCTTCAATTTATTACAGGTGGTGCAATAACCAATCAAAGGCAACCCTGGGGTAGTGGTATGGATCGTAAGTTAGGTCCAGTTGAACCAGCAGTCATAGGTCGTTCTACTGACAGATGGATCGGAAACACCGCAAATACAAATCAACATAGAGGCTACAATAATATGGGGGTTGGGGTCATGGGTACGATGGGAAATAATGTCTACATGGGTACTACCGCGCCGTCTTCAAATATGAATTTAATGGGTCAAAATGTTTCTCGTCAACCAGACAATAGATTTGGTATAGCAGCTGCCACAATGAGAAGGTTTTAATGTCTCCGTATATATTCACATTAGGGACCTTTTGCATTGATACGAAAACTTCATCGATTCATGTGTACTTGTGACGTCAACCCGTAATGAGTGTTCGGCTGGTGAAAAACATTACGCGCGTGGAGCTGGATTTACGTAGGTATGCAAACGAATATGTTTCTTGTCTCATATATTGAATTCTCCACTATTTTTCGAGGCTTTGTGTATATTGTTGATTGTGTAGAGTTCGTAGAATGTGCTCGAAAGCAATATTCTGCCTAAAAATCAATTGAAAACTTTGCCTAGACAGAAGTTCATGAAGTGGAAATTAACGCCATCTATCTAGTATCGTACATCGGATTGCGAAACCGAGTGTTAGAGGATACGAAAACGTAAATGAACATATGTTCGTTTTGGTGTTCGTTTTCGTACCGATGCGAAAAGTCCCTATTATATTATATCTTTCTCTTGTTTTATAAAATTGTAGTCGATTTGTTATCATTGTCAATGCGTAGAAAAGTCTAGTGTCCAGAGATCTGTTTGAAGTTACACATCAAGTTTTTTCATTTTAAAATCATGTCAGTGTGTATATTTCATATGTCAATCTGTCAATCATTTTTCTGTTATAAGTGTGACTCAACACGCAAGATTTCAGTCAGTTTGTTGTAATGCTTGTATAATGCATATTCATTAGGTATAATGCATATTCATTATGTATATGATGTTAATGTTGTGAATATGCTGTATATAATTGATATGATCTTTAGTTTGTTCAAACTATTCACATGCAGTGCTTACTATATTTTAATAAAATTAAATACAAATAAATTGTTCTTTGTAATGTTAAAACAGACTCTTCGTTCGTAGAGGTCAACATCGGGTTCCACCGAGGGTGATAGTGCAGAACCTTTCCTTTCGAGCCAGTTGTTTGGGAGGCTTAGGTGTGTATGGGTAAGTGAGATATTAAAAAAAAAAACAACCATCAACCCCATTCCCTGAATTAAAGGTCCTATCGTGCACTTCGAGTCTAATGGACTATCCAAGTCCATTGTTTTAGTCAAGGGTTGCAAACTCCTGGGGATAGGTAGTGCAATTGGGACCCTTGGAGGGGCTAATTTAACATGTTCTACTTCTCCATTCTAACTTAGTAGACATGATTTCAAATTCAAATTATAGAAAGGACATTATTAAAGTTACAATTTCATATTTTCTAAGATAGTCAAAACATAATTATTTCTATGTCGTTTGCTCAATAGGTTGTCAACTCACTATTATACGATCATAGGTTATCTTTCTCACACTTAAAAATCTTCACACCAGAAATAACACAATTAAGTCCCTTGTTTTCCTATTCCTATTCTCAACTGGCAATAGTGAATTATAGGATTATTCTTTAACAAGGTAGGACTGTTTATAGATACATCTTTATTTTAATACATTTTAAAAATATGAAATTGTAACTTTAAGGACATCTGAAGCTGAAATGTAGACATATCACTTTAACATTTCAACAAAATTTTGGCCTGAAGAAATAGAGTGCTGGCAGTACCTTATGCAGCTGAAATATATACTATTCAAAAAAAGTAGGGAATATTTGATTTTTAAGTGTTATTAAAGTCACCTAATGAAACTGACGAAGAAACAAATGACAAAATGAAATGAAGTTCACATTCATCGATTTATTCCAAATGATCGTTAGACTAAGTAAGGCACAGACTGACCATTATAAGGGTAAAATGATACCCGGGGTCAAACAGCAAAGTTACCACAGCATCACAACCAAGTCAGTAACGGGTAAATCTTCCTCTGTTTGCCAAACAAGCATTGATCCGACGTGGCATACTCCTAATGAGACGTCTATGGTCATTTTGGTCCAGATTGTCCCATTCCTGTTGCAACGCAGCAGCAAGTTCTTGGACATTGGCAGGACGTTGTTGACGTTGACGTAACCTCTGTCCAAGCATGTCCCAGACATGCTCGATGGGGGAGAGGTCGGGACTCAGTGCTGGCCAAGGTAATGTGGTGATGTTCTGTTGTTGGAGGTAACGATCCTGGCCCTGTGACATCTTGCGTTGTCATCCTGGAAGATGAAACGGCGGCCATGACGTCGTGCGAACGGCACAACATGGACTGCCAAGATGTTGTCCCGGTAGTACTGGCCTGTAACACGCCCTGCAACAACATGTAAAGCCGTTCTTCCAGCAACAGTGATGCCTCCCCACACCATGGCATAACAGAACCACCCCCAAATCGATCATGTCTGATGACGTTAACGTCTTGGAAGCGCTCGTTTCGACGACGCCACACCCTCCTACGTCTGTCCAAAAAATCAACAGTGAACCTTGACTCATCAGAAAACATCACATTGCTCCAGCGTCGATTATCCCAGTGTTGACGATCCGTACACCAACGACGTCTTGCCTGAATGTGATGATCTCTCAAACAAGGGATCACGCGAGGACGTCGGGCGCGAAGGTGACCCCAGCTATGCAGTCGATTCCGAATCGTCTGGCCACTCACTCTCACACCAGTGTCTGTTTGAAGACGAGCGCTGATCTGATTTGCTGTGATGACATGATTTCTCAAGGCCAAGGTACGGATAAATCGATCCTGGGCTTGAGTTGTCGCCCTTGGTCGACCTGAGCGTGGTCTGTCCTGTACAGATTGTGTATCACGGTATCTGGACCATAGCCTGCTTATGACAGACTGAGAAACATTCATCGTCCGCGCCACAACCGCCTGTGTTGTGCCGATCTGTAGCATGCCAAGGGCACGTAACCTTTCATTTTGGGTAAGCCGACGCATATCAAAATTTGTTTTCTGGTCACTGAAACAATTAAACTGATGTTTCCACCCTGGAATTCAATGCCACAATGACTGTAACATTCAAAGTCAGAGTCGTGCAAATCTTGGGTTGGACCCCCATGATGATCCCAAGCATCACCTGCATTCCATGCGGTAGCTATTGGTGCGTTTGGGCGTCACATGTAACTGGAAATGTTTCTTCTGTTAGGTTCTATAGTGACTTTTTTCGTAGTCATTTGCATATTTTATTATTATGCCCCCAAAATCAAATATCCCCTACTTTTTTTGAATAGTATATTAGACTGAAAAATTAAATGAGGGTTAATGTTCTCCGAAGGGGCTATTGAGACAACATACGCCATACAGTGTGCTACGGGGGATTATTTTTCCCCAAACAGTGGCATTACAGCCTACTCTTATTTCAAATTCCAACTGTCAAGGGATCTTGTAAGTGTATGACAATGTGTACATAGGAACTCTTGTTTTCTGTCCTGTCTGAACGACTATACATTATCCCTTGTCAGACCCTCCAATCTACACCACTGACAAGGGTGGATTCTGCCGGAAAATCTCAAACTTTCAACAACACGGGAAACTGGGTTTAACGTCCTCTTGACACAAACTAGGCCATTTCTGGACTAACATATCGTTTTCAATTTTATTTCAATAATTCGCATGCACCTAGGAGTATTTAGCAGTGGGAGAAAACCCACAAGATGTAATGAACCCCAACCCTAATAATAGATATCGGACTAGTGAGCATTGCCCGGGCAAAGGGTCTTCACTCTTTGTATTATTAACCTGCCAGAAATACCAATTTCAGTGACTTTTTTATTGGTTACAGAGTCTTGGCCATTTGAACATTGGTGGTTATTCCTGTTTTGGTTGAAATCACCCAAATTGATGGCTGAAATCACCCAAATTGAATTGGCCGTAGCTCAGGAAGTGTCAGTCTGATTAAGATACAATTTGTAATATATCCTCTGACAGTGGGGAAATCAATACAAAGAGTAGGCTGTAATGCAGCTGTCTGTATTACATCCTCTAATAGCACACTGAATGTTGTTTGTCCAGAAAAATAGGAGAGAGCGAGAGAGAAATGTCATTTCGGGACTAACATGGTTTAATTTTATTTCAATAATTCGCTTGCGCGTAGGGGTTTTCAGTCGGAGGAAACCGGAGGACCCGGAGAAAACCCACGAGGTTGGACAGTCGACCCAACTCCTTGTCACGTACTACCGGGGATTCGAAACCATGCCAGTCGACTCAATGACAGACTTTATGATACAGCGCGCGCACGCTAACCATTCAGCCATCCAACCCCTCAGAAAAGTAGGAAGTAAAACCCAAATTTCATATAATGCACAAAAACGGATTACAGATTTAAAGTGTAATCCTAGTCCGTTTTACTGGTAGTTCTTGGACTTTAAAAACATAGAAATCAAGTTTGAGTTTGTCCTAGTTATAAATCAATTATGGGTCGATACAGAATGTGGAATAGTGATGTTCCAGTGCTTGAATAGTCCATAAAAACTTGGCCCACCAGTTTAGGATGATGGGTCACTGGGCTCATATCAATATTTAAAAAAACAAATGCCCTTGTAGAGGAGGATTGCCTGACTATAACCTTGGGGGTTTTCCTCTCTGTCTATAAATGACAACAATAAGCCAGAAATTCTGTGAAGTATATTTTTAAATTATATTTCATACCAAATAATTTCCTGTTTGAGAAAATTAAAGACTGGCGCATCATCGTATATGGAACAACAAAAATCTGAAACATTATCAGTAAAATAAGTAGATATTTGAGTTTTAAAAGTTATTAAGTAAAAATTGTTTATAATGTACAATAAAATTTCTCAAACATTGAAACAAAACAGGCTATAAAATTATCACAGTTGAATATGTAAATATATAATAAAAGTTATTGTATGTGAATAAATAGTGACTTGTGTACATTCTATTTTTCATGTACAATTATTAACAATGATATGATATGTGTAATTAGACATTAATATACTTTCTATTGGTTCCACATAATATCCAATTCAATTATAATTTACATAAATAAAAACAATATAACCATGGGCAAGTTTTTTCGTGTTATATTATTCACTGATAGCCTTGTAATCGGAGAGTAGTTGGGTATCGTGTACGTACAGTCATACACTTGTTTCGGTCAATGAAAAGACTGTTCTTTTTGTTGGAAATCTCTTTTTCAAGAGCCATTCTGTTATCTTGTAAATCTTTTAGTTTGTTTTCAGCAGAGTTCAACTTAGCATGTAAAGCATCAATAGACTGGGAAATTTCATTAACTTCACCAACAAGCCTAAACAAAAAAATAAATTATTTAAATTAAAGATGTGTTTCTACAAAACTTCTAAGCAAAATCAGACTAGTGATTGCACTGATCAATTTGAAACTGATAATCCTAGATTAAATTTGAAACTGATAATCCTGGATTAGATTTAAACTGATAATCCTGGACTAAATTTTAAACTGATAATCCTTGATTAAATTTTAAACTGATAATCCTGGATTAAACTGATAATCCTTGACTAAACTGATAATCCTGGATTAAACTGATAATCCTGGATTAGACTGATAATCCTGGATTAGACTGATAATCCTGGATTAGACTGATAATCCTGGATTAGACTGATAATCCTGGATTAAAATTTATTATGGATTTGATGACCAGTGATTATGATTATCTACAGATGCATTTAATAATAATAATCAATGAATTCATTCTGAGGGTGTATCACTAAACCTAATCTCATTAGCTGGGTCAATATCTCATCTGGTATCAATCATTTTAAATCTAACTAATGGATCTGGTTAATTTCGTACTATTAAATGTGCATCAAGAAATAGTTTATATTTAATAAATTAGAGTATTAAAGAACATTTCTACTTACTCATATTGCACAGGATCTCTGCATAATTCTACATTAGGTCTGAAGGTTCTGTTGTGGAGACGTGTTTGGGCAACTTTCATTGGATCTTCTTTATCTCGAATAGATTTTTTCAACATTTCTATATTCTTCTCTTGACTTGAAATTTCATCACAGATCTGTAAAAACAAAGCATCAAGATAATGAGTGGTTGGCACAAAATAAAATATTTGAAAAATAGGAATCTCTATATAATGAGTAGAAATTAATTTCAAACATTTCGTAATAGGATAGACACCTTCTAAATATTCTCCCAATGTTTAAATGTTGTGATTTTATTTTGAACCGAGGACATTATTCATGATTAAGATTGACATATGTATCCAAATAGTTCAACCTCCACACTAGGAAGAAAATCAGCTAACAAAACTAGCTATTAAAAAGACATATTTTTCAGTTAGCTTACTGGATCAAACTAACGATTGTAGTCAGTCAGGTGTAGAGGAATATAAATATAGCCTTTTTAAGTGACATGTACCATTTAATATTGATGATTACATCAATATTAATATGTACTACACATCTTGAAAATTAATATTATTTTGTAAGATATCTAATCAGATATTGTAATGCATCACAATGTGAAATGATTGTTGTAACTTCCATACTCATGCTTGTACATGTAGTTGTGAATAAACTATTATTATTATATTATTTGACTGATAATGATATAGGAACATACCTTGCCCAAATTTTCTTCCATCTTTGTTTTAGCATCTTCAACTTCCACAACTCTCTTATGTAGAGCTGTGTCCACAGTATCGCACTGTTCTCTCATATCCCGTGAAGTATCCTCTAATATATTATCTATCATTGTTCGTAACTGTATGGATGCCATTCTTTCGTGTTCACCTCGTACAATATTATCATGTGAAAACTGTGCCCAGGACTCTGGTGTAGATTGACTATAAAATAAACAAAAATAATATTGATAAGTCCACAAATCTTATAAAATAGATTATTTTGCAATGTAATTAACTTTGGTACTCGTTAATATTGGATAAATAAATAATACCTTACATGAATGCCTAGGTAATTAACTGTATTAATAATTAACTGGATACAAGAGATTAAAGGCCTATTCATCACAGAGTTATCTCTTTGGATTGGTCTTGTGAATTAACTGCCACAATTTACTTATTATTATTAGTGTAATATTGTAAACAGATAAATTATGATTTTCAAAAATTAAGCATTGAGTTTTACAACACTTACATCTCTTCAAATTTAGCTGCTCCTGGATAGAACTGTTTATTTGTGTGATGGTTTCGTAACGCTGCAGCCCGAGTATCAATTTCAAGAGCTTCCTTTTTATCACTCCAATCCATTTCTAAGTTCTGTTTTGCATCACGATTTAATCTGAAAATGAGAATAAAGTTCAATTAATTGTACTATATACAAGTTTGCGTACATAACAATTATAGTAATTCATTGGGTAGTTTCAAAGAATATATGTACTTTATGTGATGGTTTGTTTTCTAAGATAGCAATTTGTCCTTGTTTAATAACTTACATCTGTAGATGAAATGCTAAGATATAACCAACAGTGTGTTCAACGAAACCAAAATTAATAAACCAAATAGATTTCTGCTCAATCTCTAGAATTGATAATTTAACTAGAGCTTGTCCCATCACTCATAACATTAATACATCAGTTCAACCAAATTCAACATTTTATTGTTCAAAGAGGTTTCACTCCTTTAGTTTCTTGATTGATTTTTTTAAACACAACCAGAACCACAGTGATACTTACACTATTTGTTTTTCAGACTGTGAAATTGTTCTCTTTAATAAATCTTGAACATTGTTGATAATTTCAACTTCCTGAAAATTAGATTTAAATAAACATGAAAACGACTTATTATCAATTCAGTTTCAGATTTAGAAATAGCTTTACTTAAAAGTTAAATTCTTAATTAATGTAATGATAATTACCAAAGTAATACCATCTGTTAGTTAATTTGTAAAATATTATATTCATTGTATTGTTTGAATTCAATGAGAAGAAAAGAAATGAACATATGCAATGACACGGTAAAAATTATGAAATGGTGATTTATATTTACCTTTAATAATGCTAATTCTACATCATCTTGAACCATATCAACACCCACTCTTCGCTGTCGACAATTCAAATTATCAGTAGCTATGTGTAGTGGTATTTCTGTGGCCCGTAGAGCATTTTCTAACCTTTTCTTTTGCGCTAACTGTAAATCTGTTTCTGATATTACATCAGTTATTTCTCTTTCTATTTCCAATTTCCAGAAGTTGATATCATGCACCCTTTCATTTAGTTTTTTGGTGACAGCAGCCTGTCTTTTGTTGGTGGTTGCTTCTGCTTCTTTTGATGTTTGGTTTGATTCATGGCGTATTTGCTCTGATCCATCACGGTCCACAAACGACTGATAATATTTTGAATAATTTGTTTCGTGCCATTCTGCTGGGTTATACTTAGATGACCTGAAACCAACTGTAGATATTCCCATATCATTGCCTGTATTTCCATTATAAACTATTTCCATATCAACATTTCTTGAACTAGAGCCTGTTGTCATTTCTAGTGGTTTCTCTGGGGCAATTTCCCGGCTCATCAGTGTTGCGGCGGCCATCTCTGAAGTAATAATATATCCAGAACCGTCTTTGTACGAAGTTAAATAGTTTTTACTTGATACATTAGGTGCAGACTGAAATAAATATCAAAATATATGCACCCAAGGCAACCAGGTGAGATTTTGTTGAAGCGGTTGTCAAGGGAGACATAAGCGCCTCGTGTTTTGTAGCAAGGGGAGATAATCAAACTTGCAAGCTTTAATCTCGATTGTCTAGTGCACTAAAATTCGCCGTAGGTGCGCTTATTTTATGGGAGGGTTATGAGCACCAACAGTGCCCAAATTTTGCGGAGCCGCCCACAAAATTTTCATTGGCTCAATAGTTGTAAAGACATAATGTATGTACACCAAGTTTCAAGCAGATCCGTAAAAAATTATGTCCTGTGCCTGTTCGACGATTTACAAGATTTCGAAATCTTGGGCCATAGCCATAACTCCGTAACGAATTCAGTCAGCTGGAGTTACTGACTTAACTTCAATGAATGTTAAAGGATGCAAGTCTCTAACTCAATATCACCCATAGTTTTCGACATTGCAAACACGACTTATTGGTCAATTTAAACAACATTGATGTTGTTATCTTACCCTGAAAAGATGGGCTTCTTTATTATAATACAAAATGAACATTTTAAAATTGACACACGAATCAAGTGCCACAATGCTTTCGGGTGCCATTTGTATTAAGCGACTTGATGAACGACGCTAAATATATCCCACAAGAGGATAGCCTACTACCGGAGTAGGCTGAAATAACCAAAGACTGCCATTCAATTGGGACTCTTCGGTTATTTCACCGAACATAACTGATTAGACATTACAGTAAAAATTGAAACGATTGAATGTAAATCAGTTTATATACATTTGTGTCCATTTCTAAGAAAGAATATAGATTTAGCTCCTTTAAATCAATGACATTTCTTGGCCTATAATTTTTCTTGAAAATTCTGATGTTCTTAATCTTTATATCCACAAAGAGCCCAACATGTAACAATCATCTGATAAATATATATTTAGCTTTTTGTATTGGTTTTTTTGTTTTGTTTTTTTTTGTTTTGTTTTTTGCTAAGCCTGTTCAATGGAATCTCCTTATTCAATCACCTTAGTTGATGTAGGCCTGTGTTTATTTATGACCAGTCCGCCCTAAAAATCATGAATATTCATCAAAACCTGGCAAAACATTATTTTTAAATTCTGACCCTAAAAGTCAACAAAAATTGCCATGAGAACAGTGACCAAAAGCAAGTAATTAGGCCAGGTTGACTAAATTCTTTACGCATCAAACTTATAGAACAAGATTTAAGTATGTCCTTTTTCAAGAGGATCGGTAAAAAAAATTGTGGCCTGTAGTGCTCCTCGCACACTTATGGGGGCCTCCTCCTAAAACTAGGTTACGTTTATATTGAAAATAAATTTTGTAATAAATATCACCGATTATTTTTTTTATTTGAAAATACCTCAAATCACTGAATGCCCATGGGTAGCAAAATGAAATGAAATGGGATTTAACGTCCTACTGTTCTGCTCCGACTAGGCTAATGAAGACGGTCATACACCACAAAGTCAAGTGTGCTAACTATATAAGGAAAATTTTGCCCGGGCAACGGCACTATGGCCTACTCTTATATCGAATCCCAACTGCCAAGAGATATTTTACGTGCACGCCAATGTGTACACGGGGTCTGTTTTCCATCCCAACTAGAAAGCTGTCATTGTCAGGCCCTTCGTCCTACATCACTAACAAGTGGAAGCCAACGAACTTTCTCAGCCAATGCAGGGATCGAACACACGACCCCCAGGCTAGTGAGCCACCGTGCGGCTCACTCGTGGGTAGCAAAGTAGCCTATGTCATTGTTGTTCACCAAACTTCAATCAATTCCTGAGTAAAGTCACCCTCAATGTTCAATTAATTATTGCGTTTCAAAATTTATAACATACACATAGGCATACGGGTCCCGTGAAAAAATATGTGTGTGTGTGTGTGAAGAAATGAAAAATGAAATGTCAGAAAAAAGTCACCAAGCGCGCGAAAAGTTTGAAAATTAGGCGGCCGCAAACTTACGCGTTTTCCGGCACGTGTAAAGACACTAGAAAGTGGTCCATCTTACCTTCTTTATATAGTTTTGCAGTTATTCTGCCAGTGCCATGGTCGCAGATCCCGGTGTTGACACCGGGACGCGTCCCCACCGATATTTTTAATGGTGGGGACATGATATACTGTGTCCCCACCATTTATTTCCGTTATTTCCGATGTTTTACTTACTGTTTATTTTCTGAAATTGAAATCATTCCAGAGCTTTTATTGACATTTCAAAAAGTGTAGAGTTGGTCCCAGGCACTTGAGGCCAGGGTCCTTAAGTTGTACAGCTGCACCCGGTGACCGATTTTTATTTAACAGGGAATAAGTGATAATTCATATTATGACAGTAAATAATCAAAATATTCCATAGGGATTAAAATATGTATATCGTGTGCATATCTGATACCCTGGGTATTAAAGGGTTAAGGAAAAACTGAAATTTTGTTTTTATCTGGTATACTGGATGATAAATCACCTAACTAAAGGATTTAGTTTGTATATCTGGGGAACCCTTCATTGCTAGATTTGCTGCCAAACTAAATAAACGTATTTTTAAAGACCGGTTTCTATCTCTCTCTGTGGAACATAGGCAATTAAATCTAAAATTTAAGACTCGAACCCTCTATTTTTTTTAGTACAGTAAGCTGAGCCAAGAATCGTGTACTTATTATCACAAGTAAGTGAAATTTTTTGGCTGTTTTGAAGATGGTTTAGAAATTTAGGAAATTTATCCGAAAAGACATTTTTTAAAACCTGTCATGGGCCGTCCAGAAAGAAGACAAAGGGAAAAGAAACGGGCAGAGTGGATATAAATGTACTGTTCTTTAGTTTTAAATATATTAAACACTTTATTGAATTTTTTTTTCGATTAAAAAATTGCTCTCTGAACTATTTTGTTATTGGTAAAAACTCCTCAGAATCGCTGAGAATGCATATTTAGACATTATTTTGTAACAAAAATTAAAAAAATTATAAAAGCCCCCCCCCCACCCACCAACCTCTAGCAACTCACGCCAGCGGCGTGCGGTTATATTTCGTATTATTTTGCCAGAAAATGATGCTGAAAATACCCACAGAGTGCGTTTTAGAGCGTCTAGTTTTCAAAAAATTTCGGGAGGGGGGGGACCCCCAACCCCCTTCTTTACCAATAGTCCCCACCACCAATTTTTGGCGATCTGCGCCCCTGGTCAGTGCCCACAGGGAGTGTGAGGGCCTCTTCCAGATTTTAAAAAAAAATAAACGACCGCTAACGGGCTTTCACGCTATACCAGTGCCAGAGTATAGCCATAGCTAAGTTTAAGTGGTCCCAAATAGCCTAATTATTTATGTAGTTTTGCAACGGAAATCTCTGGGCCCACCCGAATTTCAAACAATGAATAAGACTGTTGCAGCTGCATTCAACGGACACTGTTGACATAATCTTATTAATGATGATGCCCAATAAAGTGCCGCGCATAAAGCAGAGTAACTATACTCTTGTGCAGGTAGACACATCCTCGGTATAAGCACCCGATTAGATTTTATTACATACTTCGAGAAGGTATTTGTTGAGTAATAAAACCTTCTAGTAGTTTATCGAGGGCTGGTCGTCCTTACCGCACGGTACAAATATTATCACCACTAGAAGCAACAAATTTCAGAACAAGCCAGAACTCATACCAAAATGGCCGCTTTATACAAATGAGTATTTAGGGGAATACTAACCCTAACCCTAACCCTAACCCTTTTAAGAGGAGTAAAAACTAAATTAGACCCAAGTTCAGTCTTTTAAAAAGGGTTAGGGTTAGGGTTAGTTATCCCCAAAATTCTCATTTATATAAAGCGGCCATTTTGAACTCCGGAAGCACCCGAACCTCGATAAACTACTAGAAGGTTTTATTTGTACCGTGCGGTAAGGACGGCCAGCCCTCGATAAACTACTAGAAGGTTTTATTACTCAACAAATACCTTCTCGAAGTATGTAATAAAATTTAATCGGGTGGTATAAGTGCGTCCATGGACCTAGACACTTTTTATTTTACGTTCACCACAATACATGAGCCTGCAGTGTACGCTCGATTGTCAAATATTTTAGGACATCATTTTGTGTGCATGTCACTTCTCTGATATTAGATTTCTTGCAAACTTTCCCATAATCGAGCGTACAAGCTGGTGTATTGTGGTGAACGTGAAAATGACACTAAGACTGGTATGTAGGCCTAAACTGTTTTTTTGATTGGTTCGTAGAACCAACCTACGTGGCCAATGAAATCATCAAGGGCAAATAATTTGAATTCGTTAAAACCCCGCGAATGAATCCAGGGTTCAGTGGAGTAGAAAGGAACGATACCACTGGAGGATGGCAACAACGATTCGGCAATCTTAGTTAAAATAAAATGCGAGTTACTTTCCTGCGCCCATTCGCTTTCTATTTATGGAATTTTCTGATCAGTCGATAAAAATAGTACAATTAACAAGGATGAATAATTTGACTATGTGTCTGGGGTTAGTGTAGAAATGGTTTCACTACTGATGTCTTCCGCCTTGCTCCAGCCACAGTAGTGGACCGTCCTAAGGACTTCCTTTGAGCAAGTTTGGTAGTCAATTGACTAAAAAAAGTTACTGGCCTATAACTCCCTTAATTTCCAATAACACTGACCCCAAACTGTACTGTACATAGCTTAACATACAATAAACCAATTCCCATTGAAATAAAGGTGAAACCTTACCGTATAATTATATGATTTCATTAAACCCACCATCTGTTATGCGAAATTTCTGTTCAGTTTAAAATGGCTGCCGAACCAGAATCACGGGGTGTCATGACACTCGAAAGACTGTTCGGTAAGATAAGATTATGATTTCAGTGTTCCACTCGAGGATCTTCATTATTTGTAACATAATTTAAATAATTAGTTATTTCCAGAGGCGTAGCCGTGAAATATATAATTGGGGGTCCGCAACCCTACCCCCTAACCCTAACCCTATTTTAAAACCCCTAAAAAATATAAACAAACACATGGCCATGCTGTCTACACAACTCGTTTGCTGATTGGTCCACCGCGTGCAAAGTATTATGGTTACGTGGCTGGCTGAGCGGCCGATAAATATTTGGTTTAGGCGTTAATTTTTTTGGGTACCTACATGCGATTCACTCTGATAAGTGGCAGAAAAAAATTAACAAGACACAATTTTATGGAACACAGTTACTTTTCACTTCACACATATGTTTCAAGGATGATTCTCTCTGTGTTTTATTTTAGCAATGTAAACCATATTGGGATATGTATAACAGGTTTTATACAGATAAGATCTTAACTAATCCTAATAATTGTTGTAAATAAATATGAGTTTAGGGCCTACTATGTAAATTTTTTTTTTTTTTTTTGGGGGGGGGGGGGTCCAAGTATATTCAGACCCCCCCCCCCCCCCCCAGAAAAACAATGTGACGCCCATGCTTATGTCCATGCAAACTGTGAAAATATGTGTTGAAAATTTTTCAACTGAACCTAATTTCACTTGCTCAAAGCATCAAATAAAAATCACGGCTAAAAAATGCAGATGGAGTAGAAGGAAACGATACCACTGGGGATACCGGGGATAAAAGAGTTGCTCCAGACAAAATGTTGTAATCAGTCAGTTCAGTACAAATTCGCCGTTAGTTAAATTTTTTTTATATTTAGACCTTAAGAAAATATATATAATTGTAAAAAGATTTATGCATTCTAACTTTCTAGGGTGCCATTGGTAATCCGCCACTGGCCTATAGGTTGACTAGATGTTTTAATCATTAGGTCACGTAGACCAAAAACAATAGGGGTTACCCTGAGGGTATAAGGGTTAAGTAACCCAATTTTTACAAGTATATTTAAGCCAAAAATGTTTGTAGACGATCCACACATTTTCTAGAATCGGGGGCTGAACCAAAATCAATAATGTCCATCCTTAGGGCATGATGATTAAGTATCAAGTTTCAAGAAGATCTGTCAAAATTTATGACCCGTAGGCGCTTCAAAAGATTGTTTAACCAGGGGCCATAACTCCATTCCTAATTAGGTCAAGTGGGTCAAAAACAATAGGGATCATCCTTAGGGTATAGGAGTAAGTTTTATGAATTGCAGCCTGTAGGCGATACACAAACACAGACAGCATAATATGTCCACATTATAAATCTGGATGTATATAAATCTATATATTTACTAACTTCCATCTTCATTACATTGTCAGTGATGCAGGACTGAGGGCCTGACAAGGACAGTTGTCTAGTCATTTGGATGGGACGAAAAACCGAGGTCCTGTGTACACATAGGCTTGCACGTAAAAGATCCCTTGACAGATGGAATTCGATGTATTAAGAGTAGGCCGTAGTGCCGCTGTCCGGGCAAAATTTCCCTCGTAGCACACTGTATGGCGTATACTCGTCTTCTTTAGCCCAGTTCGGAGCAGAACAGTAGGACGTTAAACACCATTTCATTTCATTTCCATCTTCATTAACCCAGTACCGTTGCCAGTCTTTGCACATTCTGTTTGCCCAACCTTGTTTATATGGAAAACTGCTAGATTTTTTAAAAGAGACAGATTTTTATCATAAATTTTAATATGTAAATAATTATATTTTAACCATATTTATTGTTTTCTAGTTATATTTAATATACTGTGATATGTTTTTATAATGTTTTTGTGATATGATTTTAATTATTTACTTGACTGTGATATTTTGTTTTACATTTATCATGTGATTACATTTAATCTGTCTCAATGAATTCACCATATGTCTGGCACAGTGCCGACGTGCCATTAAACAACATTTGGTGCTGAATGGTTAGCACGTGTGCGCTGTATCAAATGGTGTGTCATTGAGTCAACTGGTGGGTTTTTTATTCCCCGGTTGTACATGACAAGGAGTAGGGTCACCTTTCCAACCACGTCGGTTCTCTCTGGGTCCTCCGGTTTCCTCCCACTGCTAAAGACCCCTACGCGGAAGCGAATTATTGAAATAAAATTGAACCATGTGTTAGTCCCGAAATTACCTAGTTTGTGTTGATTGGATGTTAAACCCCATCTCTCTATTAACCCAGTCGGTGCAGAAAAGTAGGACGTTAAACCCCCATCTCATTCCATAAGTAACTTAATCTTTTAAAGATGCTCTCCCAGGTACAAACTGTGTGATTTGATGAGAGAGAGAGAGAGAAATGGGGTTTAACGTCCATTCGACACAAACTAGGTCATTTCGGGACTAACATATGGTTTAATTTTATCTCTTTAATTTGCTTGCGCGTAGGGGTATTTCGCAGTGGGAGGAAACTGGAGGACCCGGAGAAAACCCACGAGACTGGACAGGCGACCCTACTCCTTGTTATGTACAACTGGGGATTCGAAACCACGCCAGTTGACTCAAATGACAGGCCGTATGATACAGCACGCACATGCTAACCATTCGCCCCCCCGTGATTTGATGATATTTTGGGTCTAAAACCATATTTAAACTAATATATCTATCAAAAGCTTGCATCAAATCCCTCTAGAAAACTAACCCATGTGTCAACCTTGTTTATCGCGTAATTTCATTGAGGGGAATCCATTTTTAGCTTGTATTTGTCATTAGTCGCCGTTCCTTTACCATAAATATATCGAAGCCTATGTAAATTACTCTTGAAGAATCTACTAGATGTTTAAATCTCGTTCTCTTATATCAACACTCAAGAAGTGCTCCTTACGTCCCTCAAGAACACCCTCACATTTTTTATTGTCGAGTTCGACCACGGTGTTGGTTGCATTAGTCAAATTAGGATTTTCCAGCATGGTTGCCCCTTGTCAGTGATGCAGGATGTATAGCCAAGCAAGGACTGGGCTTAGTTGTTTGGATGAGACCAAAAACCTGAGGTCCCGTGTAAATGTTGGAGTGCACTTAAAAGAACCTGTGGAATTTGATACAAGAATATGTTGCAGCGCCACTGTCCGAACATTCCCTAACAGCACTCTGTATGGCATATGCTGGTCTTCATTAGCCCAGTCTGTGCAGAACAGTAGGACTTTAAACCTCACCAGTTGTGTAGTTGCAAAATTGAGACCAATCTATGGAGAGAGAGAAATGGAGTTTAAGGTCCACTTGCCCAAACTAGGTCATTTCAGGACTAACATATGTTCAATGGGAGGAAACTGGAGGACCCCGAAAATACCAACGAGATTAAACCATCAAACCTACTCGATCCTTGCAATGTACAACCAGGAAATCGAAACCACGCCAGTTGACTCAATGACAGACCTTATGATACAGCGTGCATGCGCTAACCATTCAGTCACCCACCCCCCTAGCAATCTATTGATAAATCTACTCTTGATTTGACCTTAAAACAATACACTTTATTTATACATGTGGGTGTGATCACATATAAGGAAAAATGATATTTAAACTCATTATATAGCGTGATCATATTATAGCCACTGACTGACGTATTACAATGAAATGACAACAGTTGCAAAAATTACAAATACATGAATATGCTATCATTAGTACATTGACACTGCAAAGCTATTTGGAGAAGATTTAAATTAATCAATTTTTCTGGAAACTGTTGATTAACCAAATTCACATATGTACAAAACATATTTAACTACAATACAATGGTATCCAAATAGCCGATAAAACAAATAACGGTATAAAAGGCTGACTAATGAAGCAAAGTTGTAAAAATGATTGAAGACTACATTTTCTCTAGATTTTTGAAAAACTTTTCATTCACAGGTTATAAATGTGTGAAATTTTTTGTTTCCGAACATAATCATTCAACAAACAAATAAGTAATACACTTTACAAGTCATTATTTTGTGAATTCTGTACACATATATTTCACAATATCATAAAATATATAAACATTTAAAATACAAGAATAAATGGACTTGTTCCAAAATATTCCTGTATTTTAATTTCATAATATAAAAAAAAATTATTCAAACTTCACAATGAAGCAATTGGTGAACTTTTAGTATGATTCAATAATCACTGAACTCACAATGGAACAAAAAAGTTGTATTTGAGCTCGTGCTCCACTCCACACACATGCGACTGGCATAATATAACACCATTTGTGTATATGCTTGATAACAACTTGGGAAATCTTGTTGAAACGTCGCAGTGAAATAAACCATAGTAATTGTCATTCCATAAAAGTGTTTGATTATGTTCCAATTACTAAATGCCATTCAAAGAATACCATTTATATATTACCAGCCTTATTGTGAGAACATTTTCATAAAATAAATCATTCGCCATAAATGTGGTTTCGTCCACCATCATAATTGACTTAATCTTAACAAAAATAACAACTTGAGAAAAAAACTTGATCATGATTGGCTTTGAATAAGTTTCTAATAAAACAACTATGATACACTAAAATGACATGATGGATGAAACAGATGACATGGGTATGATAACATTATTAACACATATCTCTAATAGTTTACAAGAAATTTACAGTTTGCCATAGATCGTAATAGCTGGAGAGAGAGAGAGAAATGGGGTTTAACGTCCACTCATCACAAATTAGGTCATTTCGGGACTAACATATGGTTCAATTTTATTTCATTAATTCGCTTCCGCATAGGGGTCTTTAGCAGTGGGAGGAAACAGGAGGACCCGGAGAAAGAGAGAGAGAGAGAAATGGAGTTTAACGTCCACTCGACACAAACTAGGTCATTTTGGGACTAACATATGGTTTAATTTTATTTACATAATTCACTTGCGCGTAGGGATCTTTAGCTGTGGGAGGAAACCGGGGACCCGGGGAAAACCCATGAGGCTGGACAGACGAACCTAACATATGGTTCAATTTTATTTCAATAATTCGCTTGCGCATAGGGGTCTTTAGCATTCGGAGGAAACCGGAGGACCCGGAGAAAATCCACGAGGATGAACAGACACTGGAGTTCTTTGCTTACAGAAGAACACATTCACTGACCTAAAAGCACTAATATTTTCTGGCATTTTTCAAAGGCAATTATTTATAATGAAGTCTAAAGATGGTACCAAATAATATAGCAACATTAAGATGATATATTGTCAATATGTGCATTTTATGTATATACAAAAATATGGCGTAATGACCTATCATAATATAAGAATAATTTACTAAGAGGTGAGTGAAGTGATAAATAATGATATCAAAAAAAAAAAAGAAAAAAGAAAAATGGAAGAAAACGTAATTCCTCAAAAACACTCACAGTTTCGATCATCTTGAAAATCCTCATCATAAATACCAATTATTATGCAGTAGGATATAAAATATTTTAAAATCTTACCTATTTATTTCGCCAAACATTCAATATTGAACAAATTTTTTCTAGCAAAATACACTTTGACTGATTACCGGTAATACTCTACAAAATCATTTATTGTAGCAAGATACACTTTTGACTTATGAATACTCTACAAAATGATCATTTGTATAATGCAAATATCAAAATTCAAAATATCATTTTTTGTAGCAAGATACACTTTTGACTGATGAATACTCTACAAAATGATCATTTGTATAATGCAAATATCAAAATTCAAAATATCATTTTTTGTAGCAAGATACACTTTTGACTGATTAATACTCTACAAAATGATCATTTGTATAACGCAAATATCAAAAAACAAAATATCATTTTCCACGCCTTTTCTACTAATCGGGTAATTTTCCTGGCTTCTTGAACTATTGTATTCTGTTTCATGTACCCGTTTTTATTCACTTAAAGATACATTATGGGAGATTAGATAAAGAGCTGGCAGTTCTCACTATAATAGTTATAAACTAGATAATGTAAAGGGAATTTGCTGAAAATTTCAGTCAAATTGATCCACTATGAACCGAGAATTTAGTGATTAAATTTTCGGCCTAGCCTCAATCACCATTACTAAATTTGGTGTGATAAAAAAAACATAGTCTCGATTATCCATTTCATAATTTAATCATGAATGATTAATGTCTAATTAATAATTTAGATAATATTTCAGACCTAAAGAAAGACCTGCAATAGGCAGATTTAGCTCTTGCATAATGAATGTTTAAACCTCTACTGTTTTTATGGACTACATGAACATAGGTTCAGTAGAGAAGGAAGAAAATACCTGGTATCTTTTAACCCAAGTTGAATATTTTTCAAAACAATGTAAATATTTTGACTAACATTTAAACTGACATATATAGCAATGTACATATTAGCGATCAGCATTAAATTAAACCTTTGTACATGTGTATCATAACAGGGAATATATACATTATAAATCAGCCTTATTGTGTTGTATATTTAGGTAGATAAAACTAAATAAATTTGTAATAGAATAAAAAATACTAGTCTTATGTTTGTTTAGAATATATAATAAATATATATATCACCCCAAACACAATAGCACTTTCATAGAAGGTAGTATTTTACACGTAAACATAATAAAAGTGGGCGGGGGATAAACCATGTAAAACAATTCTGTAACATCAGTACATGTTGACATACATATAGCCGATCAAATGTCCACAATTAAAAATATAAACAGATCAAGAATTGGGGATATATTATATGTTATACAACATTGAATTTAATATTATTTATGGTTTATTTCTATCATTTTTTTTAATAATTAATAACAAAACAGTTCTCAAAATTTACAACACAAAACAGCATTAAATTAAAAGCAAAACAAATAATAACCGATGATAAAATCAATAACTATATTATTAACTTGTACATAAAACTAACCATTTAACTTCATTTGTTTACATATCTCTCTCCTTAATATAATTTTGATTGATGACTGAATCGACGATGTACTGCTATCCCATACTTACACAATGTAATAATTTACTATTATAACTCTATACAATCTGATCAAAATACAGATCTATATTTCGTTTCGTTTGTTTTATACTTTCGATGGCCTACACTCCATGAAGATCTGACTGGTTGTAGTGGAAGGTCGCGTTGGAGGTCGTGTGAATGACTTTTGACCTATGACATCAGACATTGATTAATCAATCAGCGTTGATGTTTCTAGTGGTTTACCCAGTTTCGTGCATCGCACGCCAAGAAGTCACCGTAACAGATGGTTTCATTGGCTAATCCCTCACATCAACCAGAACGCTGGTTATATCCTAGATCCTAGTGCAGTAAAGACAAGTAAAATGAAATTTTGAACTATAAAAAACAAAACGAATTAGGATCTTTGTTTTAATCAGATTGATACCATAAGTACACGATGTAATAATTTACTATAATTACTCTACAGTAAGTTCGAATTAATTATAACATATCATAACATAATGTGAATATCATACTATTCCGATAATCTTTCTGAACTACACACATAAAATATGTAGACTAGAATCATTTTATTTATGTATTGTTTAATGGACGAGAAGGTGACATTAAGTAATACACTGTAACAACAAGAGGGTCGTGTTTTTACAATATATTATGCAATGTCCTAAGTTCAAGACCATTAAACGACTTAAAATATAGATACTCCGAACGTGCTTTTACAGTGAAATATGTCACTCGAGTCCAATATTTCACTAGTATAAATAATGTACAATTGGCAAGTTGCCCGTACGATTATTTGAAATAATAGTACGCCAACATCAACAGATGACGTCACATCTGTATTTTAAGTGCTCATATAACTTTACACATAACTATTTCACTATATTGCTACCTTCAAATCTACAATGTGTTTCAAAATTAATTTCATATCAAAGGTCATCATAAAACTGACATTCTCCGTAATAAATTATTGGTGTGAGTAAATTGAATAACGATCAACCATTATTATGCCATAAGATGATGATCTATGAAGTAGGATGCTAACATGTATATCATATAGGTAATGATTATCTAAACACAATAAATACACAGCTTTTATAAGTTTAAATATAGAATATATCATAGATAATCATCATTAATTTTATCATTATTTTCTTTTTTACAAAATAGGGTTTTTTAAGGATAAAGCATAGGTGAAGATTTGTTAATAGTTTTACAAAGAGTAACATTTTAAAAAGAACTTAAACATTTCACCCAGATCATCATGGAAGTCTTGGGTAAACCAATTAAAGCACACAGTTAATATATTTCTCTTTGTGTCATCAATTAACTTGCTTCGGTTGTTTCTGTTTTTATTCTTTTTCCGTCGGGACCTTCCCTTTCACCATTTTCCCCATCTGAAGTTCTCTTAGCAGCCAGGTTGGCAACATTTTGCATCTGTTAATAGAATTAGCAATATTTAATTTCTGGCAAAATTCCAAACAAAATAAAATTCTTTCAAATTGTTTCTGGGTTCCTTTAAATGAAATGAAATGAAATGGGGTTTAACGTCCTACTGTTCTGCTCCGAAATGGGCTAATGAAGACGGGCATATCCGCCATACAGTGTGGTACAAGGGAAATTTTGCCTGGACAGCGGCACTACAGCCTTCTCTTATATCGAATTCCAACTGTCAAGGGATCTTTCATGTGTACACGGGACCTCAGTTTTTCGTCCCATCCGTACGACTAGACAGCTGTCCTTGTCAGGCCCTCCGTCCTGCATCACTGACAAGGAGGAACCACAAAGGAAAATCTGGATGAATTTTCTTGGCCAATGCAGGGATCAAACACCCGACCTCCAGGCTAGCGAGCCAGTGTCTTACCCACTTAGCAACCGTGCCCCCTGGGTTTCTTTAAATAAGTAACTAAAACATAAGGAAAGAGACATTTGTATAAACTCTTATTAGACAGATGTTGTTTTCGTTCTTTACTTCAACAAGAAATCTGGTTGCCATGCAAGATAAGCCCACATTTTGCAAGAAATGGACCGAGAAGGAGCTAAAAAAGAAATATCATTTTTTGAACAATCAGGGGCTATAATCCAGGAAATTACAGTCTGATATGCACAATTATCGAAAGGAACCCGAGATCTTTGGTATATAATCATAAATTTTAAGTTTTTATCAAAATCAGATCAATTCGTCGTTAGGTAGACGAAGTGACGTATCCTCAAATAAAGTCGTATGAAGATAAGTCTCTTCGTCTGCACACCGACAAATTTCGAAAGGAACGGAGATCTTTAGGAGATAACCCTATATTTCAAGTTTCGTCAAAATCGTATAAAAATTGTGTGGACAATATATGTCCACATGAAAATGTGGACGTATAAGAATAACAAATTTTACTACTTTTTAACTTCTAGACAAATTTGATGAAATTTCAAGGTATGTTTAAGATCTGGTTTGATATTATGAACATCTCGCGTATGATTTTGATGAAATTAATTCCAATCAGTCCCAATTTTCCTTTTTCTGAGATTTTGAATAAAATGATAATTATTAACCAAGCTGCCGAGATTTTAACTACTACAATTTATATGAGCATTATCAATAAAATGGTCTATCGCAGGAATGACATATTTTGAATGCATTAAACTGCTACTGGAAACATCTTAAATAGAAACTTGAGCACTCCTTATTTTTGAAAATTTAAAAAGTAAAGTCCCATATACAAACATAGAGAGAGGGAGAAATGGAGTTTAACGTCCACTCGACTAACATATGGTTCAATTTTATTTCAATAATTCGCTCGAACGTAGGGGTCTTTAGCAGGGCTGCCGACAACCAGTATCGCAGCGCAATTAGCGATACATATTTTGTCCGTTGCTAATCAAAAATTAAAAATCTAACGGTTTTGATTCGCAGTAACTGCGAATCATTAATATGCCTGTCATTTTGGATATTGACACAAGGATAATCCACTTTCAACGTGTATAAAATGCCAAATAAAATTTCATAAACAAAACTGAATTCTCCGTGTGACATTTTCTTCTTGAACTACCCAGACACAATTCATTATACTACATGTATATAATAAAGGGACATAACTCTATGAATAGCGACTATTAAACCGGAAATAGGGAATCAAGTAGTACCACTCACGTTGCGGGACATGTCAATTTCAAGTAATTATATCAGTATACATTTTGAAAGAAATAAATACATGTTAACGTATTGTAAAATGATAAATCAAAGTAAGAATTCCCGTAAAATATTGTTCATATCGCGTGTGTCTAGTTAATAATAATAAAGGTGCGCGCGATTGAACCAAAATAGTAATACACGATAAAAAGCAGACAAAATTGTTTTCCAAACAAGATTTCTAACGTAACAAAAAAATAACAATTAAAATGAGTAGGGCTTCGGAAGTCACTGCCAAGATTTGGCTTCAGACATTCACATTCACAAACTGTCACAACTACATGTGGCAGTGCTAAAAAAAATCTAAGAATGAAATCTAATCATCATGTTTGTTATGAATTAAAGTAATTTCTTGTTATTTAGGTGTTTTATGTTGAAACTGAAAAACTGCTAATCAATTTTTAAATTTGCTAATCAAATTTGGCGAAATTGGACTTTTTGATTAGCAGTGCTGCTAATCAACTGTGAAAAATTACCGACAGCCCTGGTCTTTAGCAGTGGGAGGAAACAGGAGGACCCGGAGAAAACCCACGAGGTTGGACAGGCGACTCTACTCCTTGTCACATACAACCGGGGATTTGAAACCACGCCCACGAAGCTGGACAGAGGAACCTACTCCTTGTTATGTACAACCAAGGAATCAAAACCATGCCAGTTGACTCAATGACAGACCTTATGATACAGCGCGCACATGCTAACCATTCGGCCATCCACCCTCCCCCCCCTTACAAATATATATAGAGAGAAAGAAAAATATAAATTGAAATATAATAATGTCTTACTAATAAATGCTGTTGTAAAGCTGTAGCTACAGGTTGAGAAATGACTGCATGATTTTCTCCAGTTGACACAGCTATCTGGGACTGAACTTTTTTACTATCTCCTGAAGGTACAGCAGCAGACTGAACTATCTGAAAAGTTGGCTGAGAGATGAGAGTGAAGGGTTGAGATGCTTGTAGTGCTCCTACTGATGTTGTTAGATTAGCTTGAGATGTTGTTAGTTGTGATGTTAGGTGTGGTGTTGCTAAGGTTACGGCTGTTGGCCCTGTTGACTGTTGTGGACCTGCCAATGTCCGGATGAGGGTAATTGGTTTGAGAGTGCCACCAGCACCATATTGGCCTGCTGTTGCTGTTGCCATTAACGATGCAACTTTTTGTGAAGCACTAGTATTGATAATACCTGCAACAAAACAACAAAAATATTATTAATGTTGATAATAAATTTTGATTAGTATATTTAGTAGAAGACATAAAAGTGAGAGAGAGAAATGGGGTTTAACGTCCACGACATAAATTAGGTTATTTCGGGACTAACATAAAATTTAATTTATTTATTTCAATAATTCGCTTGTACGTAGGGGTCTTTTAGCAGTGGGAGGAAACCGGAGGCCCCGGAGAAAACCCACGAGGTTGGACAGGTGACCCTACTCCAGACATAAAAGTAAAAAAAAGATTGTGTTCTCTTATGATGTTATACAAATGAAAATCTTGGAGGGTCGATTGGCGAATGGGGTTGAGTGATTACCGAATGGTTTAATGTGTGTGGGTTAGATCATTAGGTCTTGTCGTTGAGTCAAGTGGCGTGGTGGTGGTGTCAGATCCCCACATGTACGTGACAAGGTCTCCAGTCAAACCTTGTGGGTTTCCTCCCATAGCCAAAGATCCCTAGATGCAAGCAAATCATTGAAATAAAATTGTCAGTCCCGAAATGACCTAGTGTGTCGAGTGGAGGTTAAACACCATTTCTCTCTCTGCCATGTCCTCCATTAAAATAAAATTAGGCTATACTTTACATTTTACACAATTCTTAAAAGGACATAATGCATTTAAACAAATTGGACAATAATGTTTGTCGTTACAACAATAAATAGAAATTGTTAAAATGAAATAGGCCTCTTCATCTCACTAATGTAAACAACATATATAAATTTCAAAACGGTTAGGGGGAGACAACAATATACGACCACATTTCCATGTTGGCGTATTAAAATCGTATTTGATTTTCGTCAGTGACAATTATAACCTACCTTGACCATGGTCAGGATTTTCTTTCTTAATTTCTAAATGTGTACCGTTTGTAATTGGGGAGCCAGAGATTAGTGGACCATTCAGTAGCACTTGTTGTCCAGCATTTGTAACAAATATTTTTGGTTTTGTGATAACAGAGGGCATTTGATGCATTGCTGTAGGAGCATTAGCTACCACTGTAACAGGAGACAATACTCGAGATCCTAAAAAAAAACCCCAAAAAACAAAACTGGTTTTTAATATATTGAAAGTTGAAACATTTAAAATTGTCATACTGATTCTTTTCTTTAAGGAATTCAGTAAAGTCAGGTACAATTTATCTATTTTATTTGCATATATACAGAAGCGTTTGATATCGAAATGAAATCGGGTTTAACGTCCTACTATTCTGCTCTGACTGGGCTAATGAAGATGGACATGCGCCATACAGTGTGCTACGAGGGAAATTTTGCTCGGGCAGCGGCACTACGGCCTACTCTTATATCAGCCTACTCTTATTCCAATTGCCAAGGGATCTTTTACGTGCATGCCAATGTATGCACTGGACCCATCCATCGACTAGACAGCTGTCCTAGTTATTAATTAGACATTAATTAACTTCTCCAGACCATAATCAACTCTCGATGTCATTGCTAGTCTGCGATATTTATTGGATTAGGATCCAATTTGCTGCTTAACTTTCATTCATGATAACTGCCAGCTCTTTATCTGATCTCCCATGATGTATCTTTAAGCTATATCTGAGTAGAAACTTGATCGGGTACAGTTTATAAAATACTGACCTGCAGGAGAACCTGGAGCTGACTGACTAAGTCTATGATCTGTTTGAACTGAAGTAATACCAGGCCGATATATTACACCGGTCATATGTTGTGGTGGCTCTGTTTCAGAGATAGTTTCAGGTACTGGACTTCCTTCTCTTGACAAATCATCAGGTGTAAATGTTCCAGCCATATGACTTGGAGAAGCTGGAGCAGATCTGAAGGATAAGAAGATCATGTCCAATTCAAAAACTTTGTTCAGATAACCTGGTACAATGCTTTTCTACATTGTCTATTATTATAAAACATACATTATGCAAGAGCTAAATCTGCCTATTGTAGGTCTTTCTTTAGGCCTGAAATCTTATCTAAATTATTAATTAGACATTAATTAACTTATCCAGACGATAATCAACTCTCGATGTCATCGCTAGCCTGCAATATTTACTGGATTTAAATTCGATTTGCTGCTCAATGCTCATTGGTGATTTAATCCAAAAATGGATCATCAAGACTATGTTTTTTTATCGTACTGACTTTAGTAATGATGATCAAGGCTAAGCCTAAAATTCAATCGCTAAATTCTCTGTTCAGAGTGGATCAATTTGACTGAAATTCCCTTTACATTATCTAGTTTTTAACTATTTTGTTTCTTTTTTTTATAGTTTAAAATTCTGATTTACTTGTCTTAACTACACTAGGATCTGGAAGAGCTGATATATAACCAGCGTTCAGGATGATGTGAGGGATTAGCCAATCAAAACGGTCAGTTACAGAAAATTTTTGGCGTGAGGTGCACGGATCAGTTGGTAACCCACTACAAACATCAACGCTGATTAATTAATCAAATGTTTAACTTCATAGGGACAAAAGCCACTGGTATGATCTCAGACGCAACCTTCCACTACAACCAGTCAGATCTTCATGTGGTCTAGGCCATCAACACAAAACGAAATATAGATCTGTATTTTAATCCGATTGGTAATAAACAATTTATAGAACAGTATGTCATTATTTTATACATGTAGTAAAATAATTTACCTTGTAGATAATCCACCAAAAGGTGTTCTAAAACATGGTACACCACGTTGTCTCCGCCGCCTAAAAGCTTGTGATGTAAGTTTAGCTTCTGATGCAGCGTCTATTCTCCAAAAAGAACCCTTGCCAGGTTCCTCCTGAGATCTGGGTACTTTAACAAAGTAGCGATTTAATGATAAATTATGTCTTATTGAATTCTGAAAAACATAACATTAGTGAATTCGTTATCGTGTTCGAATTTGTATTTAGCCCTGTAGGTTATTCTAATACCACAAACAGGTGTCCAAATAATAAATTAGGTGGTCATTTTCAAGATTGGCTAAGTGGGTAAGACGCTGGCTCGCTAGCCTGGAGGTTGTCTGTTCAACCCCTGCATTGGCCGAGAAAATTCAGCGAGATTCTTCAACATGGTTTTCCCTCATCAGTGGTGCAGTACTGAAGGTCTGACAAGGACAGCTGTCTAGTCGTTTGAATGGGATGAAAAACCGAGGCCCTGTACATACATTGGATTGCACATAAAAGATCCCATAGTGCCGCTGTCTGGCCAAAATATCCCTCATTGCACACTGTATGCCCTTCCTCATTAGCCCAGTCGGAGCAGAACAGTAGGACGTTAAATCCCATTTCATTTCATTCCATTTCCACTTTGTTTATTCTGATTCAGTTGAGATTGGATGAAATGGATTGTCATTTTGTCATTGCCTACCTCATTAAAATCACACATTGAAAATCCTACCAGGTACTGTTTAAAATGGTAAACTCAAACATACCTGCCATCCTTTATCTGCTGTCCTATAATATGGATAATTCTTTGTAATATAAGCATATATGCCACTTAATGTTAGCTGTTTATCAGTTGCTGATGTTACAGCTTGCACAATTAGCTGAGCATAAGAATATGGGGGTTTTGATTCATCTCGTGGACTATCACTACCAACAATAGTTTGATTATTTTGAGTGTCTTTTTCTTCACGTGGGTGAGCGGCAGCATACACAGCTGCTGCTTGTAAATCGGGCACAAACATACGAGGGCCTGTTCCTCCTCTTGGACTTGTTGGACAAGAATTTGCAGCACTGCAATAAAATATGGTCATCGTTAAGTAATTCAATGATCAATTCACCCAAATTAAAAATGATTTATTTAATATTTATTTCAACATAACTAGTTCATTATATTATTATATTTCTCTCATATAAATAACAATGTTTCATCCATGCACTTGTCTTGAGTTTCTAGTTAGGTGTTGCCAATATTAAGAAAAGATAACCATGACGCAAAGTGTGGAAATATGCCCACAGAACCGCTACATGTATTTCTCAACAGCAGCTTATCCGAAAGAAAAATTAATGGATCCAGGAGCCTTTAAGAAATCTAATCTCGATTGTTTTCACAAACTTTTCAGGAAAAATAATATATATCCCTGTAAAAAATTGATGAAAATCAACAGGGTTCATTCTTTCCGATTCCAATGCCTCAATAGGATTATCGTCTCCTCAAAGTCCTTATGCTTCTCATAAAACTTAAAAAAAAAACAAAAAAAAACTGTTAAAAAATGTAGTCTCTGACACACTAACAGGAAAATGTATCATCCTGTCATGACCACAGAAAATTTGAAAAGAATCGGTTAAAACTAAACTCTTATTGAGTGCACAATGTTTTTTGGCAAGGGGGGATAACTCTGAATATCAATAGGGTTCGTCTACTGTTGACTCCAATGCTTCAAGCCATATCTGAAAAGAATCTGTCGAAAAGTGTGGCCTTTATTGCGTTCACAAACCAATTGTGGATGGATTGCCCAACATGTCGACGACATAATACACCCACACTGAAATATAGGTTTATATAATAAAAAAAAAAAGGACACAATATACATTTTCATATTATTAAGGTACTTTCTTAATAAGTTTTTAAATAGTGTTATGGTTGAGTACTAAAAGCCTACCTAATAGTTCCTGTTGGAGAAAGACATGGACTGTTTACTGGATGTGCATGTTCTGGTATATTTATTTTTAATGGTGGTAAAGGTTTCTTCTTTGGCGAGACATTAATTGAACTAGGTGGTGGTATGGCAATAGGAGGAGGATTTTCTTCAACCAATGATTGAAACACTATCTTGATGTTTGTGCTAGGAAAGCGCAGGATACATCTGTTGGAAACAATGATAAAATTGATTAATATGAGAAAGATCACAAATAATATTATTTGACAGCAATTATTAATCTAACACAAATTAAGGTTATAGATTTTAGGCCAATTAAACATAAAAGCAAGAAAATGATATTGGCCTTAGAACAGAAGTTTTATCTATTAGTAATCATTAAAATAGGCCTATGCCATGCATATTTTATTATTTATAGACACACAAGGGGGAACTAAATGTAAATTTCACATCTTATATAAATTGACACTTGAGTTGACTAATGATAGGTTCTAATGTCCAGTCACAAACAAACAAGCTTACAGTTGTCAATCACAAACAATAAAAGCCCACTTTACTATCTTGATTACATAACAATAGTTTTCACATCATGAATGACAGATCAAGGCAGATAAATTGTTTACATAGCCGCCATTTTGGGGAAAACCACATGGAAACAAACTTTTGACTGCGGCATCAAAATACACGTATTTGGGGGTTACAACAATCTGTTTCTTTGCAATAATAATATCAAATGATAAAACTGGATTAACTTTGATAATACAAAGAAAGAAATTAACAATAAATGGGGCAGAACTATTCAAAACGTAATTGTAAACAATGCATATTTCCGAGCACGCGCACTCAGTCGGCACATGCCATCAAAACAAAACAAACTCACGTTTTTGGTAACTGTAACGGTGGTGCTCCTTTTCCTTGAAAAATACCATCAATAAATACCCCATTCTTTCCACCACACTTCATGAAAAAATTAGGCAGTTCATAGAATATTTCTAGATGCACCCTTGAAATGAAGCTTGAATGTCCCATATCAACGTCGACATCTCCCTTGCTGCTATTACGGCCAATAGTAATGCGATTTTGACGCATCAAATATTCAAAGTCTCGACCTTCTAAGCGTGCAATAGCGGTATGCTTTGGGTCTGGACACCAACCCATTCTTGCAGGACTTGCCGGTGCCGATTTTAATGCCAACAGAGCATAGGCATCGTTATCCGAAGACTGCGAAACAGCAGACATCACGAGGTTATGCTCGCACACAAAAATGGCAGCACATCAAGAGAGGAAAACAACTTACCCTCTACCCGCTGTTTACATCTAGGAAAACTACCCACAATGCAAAGCGTTGAGCGTGCCTGTCTCGCGTTGTCCTTTTTTGACCTACAGACAAGCATGACTTGGGTAGTAAATAATGCATAAATAAAACCGATTTTCTTGTCCATGACCCAGAAAATATAAACAATAATATCGCGGAAAAGTAATGACCATGAAAACAGGCTAAGGCTACGATTAGATGACAATGCATATGTTGATTTGCAAATTGTTTTTACATACGCAAAGTTTTTTTTAAAGGAATAAATACCTAAAGTATGATTTTTTAACGCTGAATAAAAGAGAATCGGCATCATATTAAATAATTACTAATTTAACACTCATGATAAATAAAATATATTTGCGACTATCAACTTCATAGTTTCAAGAAAAGTTGTAAATATATTAAAATTAGTTATAGGAATTTTGAATAAATAAAAAAATAATAATTATGGGAATTTTAAATAAAAAAATAAAAAAATAATAATTATGGGAATTTTAAATAAAAAAAATAATAATTATGGGAATTTTAAATAAAAAAATAATAATTATGGGAATTTTAAATAAATAAATAAATAAATAAATAAATAAATATGGGAATTTTTTAATAAATAAATAAATAAGGGAGAGCATTTACTGACTGCATGTCCAAGTATAGCCTACTGATAAACTAATACACCCAAACTAATATTTACTACAGGCTAGATAGTGCAGGGGACAAGACAAACAGTATACGTACACATCTAGTTACTCGGATGGAACGGAAACACGATCTCCCGTGTATCCAGGTAAGTCGCCCGACTTCATTGCCTGGTAGACAACAACAGCCAACACAAAACGATATACAACAAGATACACTTCAACTTTTATTAGACCCCCCCCCCCCAAAACAAAAAACAAACAAACAAAAAACAAGAACAAACCAAAACGGCCGTCCCAAACACATGGGCCAGAACAATAATTACGGTATTAATTTAATTAGGCTACATTCAATGAAAGCAACGATCGAGACTATTTATATTTGCATACGTTACACCGACTTCCGCAAAGTATTGTATTGTGGCTCATAGGTCTCATGTTCCAATGAAAAAATGAACTGAGGTTTAACGTCCCGCCTTTTTGCACCAACCGGGGTAATGAAGACAAGGTTTTATGCGCCATGCATTGCGCTGTAGGCCTACGGGTCTAATCGTATAGGGCGCCACCCATGGACAATCCCATGCACCCCACAATGAATCTCAACATTATATTGTATTGCCTCGATATAGCTGTTCGCCGATCGTTATCTCACCGGAAAGCACTTTTATGCAAGATGACATATAGCGAGCAACCTGAAAAGGGGGATTTGGAGTTTGAGGTAATTTGAAAATTTGAGTCAAGGTCATTGCTGCGAGCAAATTCTTGTGAACGGGAGGAACAGGCAGAATCTCGAGATCTGCCTGTCAATTCTGCCTGTTTTGTGAGGTTTGACCGAGCCACCGTGGCTTCCCGACATTTGGTCGTATCATTCAGTTCACTTACTTTGAAGGGCTGATCCACCGACTGGGATTATAAATGAAGACGTGAATACGTCATACAGTGAGCTATCGGGAAATTTTGTCCGGACAGCTAGCGGCGCTACGCCAATGTGTAGCCTACACGGGACCTTTGCGTTCTATCCAAACGACGGTAGTTAGTCAAAAACGACAGGGCCTCGCTCGGCTTCAAGATTTTTGTACACAATCTGTTAAAGGCTCAATACCACTCTTGTTGTAACTGAATAATATGTCCCAATCTTTATTCTGGTCAACAAATTGTACTATTTTACATTATTCCAATTAATTGATGATACAAATTTCATCTTAACACACCTAATTTAAAAAATTGGAAAAATTCAACTAAATGATTTGAAAAGCCTGACCTAAAGCTTTTCAAATGTGACTTGGATTTAAAAATATTTTTGAACCCTCTGGACAAGTAAAATAGGATTTAATGGATAATTTACACAACAGGTAGGACACTAACACATCTAGTACTTAGAATAAGGCTATTTTTTTATTTTCTGGAGCTGTCAAGCCAGCAAGAGTGTTATTGTCCCTTTAACTAAATGAAATGAAATCGGGGTTTAAGTCCCTCATCACTCACCAATAGCGTTTTTTACCGATAGCGTCACATATGTTTTGGCAATGCCTAACATATCGTTATTCTTTCTTATTTCAATAAATTGCTTGCGCAAAGGTGTCTTTGCCTGTGGGAGGAAACCGGAGAAAAACCCACGAGGTTGGACATGCGACCTACTCCTTGTCACGTAGTAGCGGAGATCGAAACCCCGTCACCTGACTTAATGACAGACCAAATGATCTAACGCGCACGTATCAAGCCATTCGTCCACCCAATTCCCCGATTTAAGTTGAAAATACAACGCTGCATGGAGCTAATTTTGGCCTTTTTATACGCCCATCTTTTCGCATTGATGTTTTATGTATCTGTCCGTGTATCTGTTCACAGTTGTTTATAGACTCGTTAGAGGTCACAATTTTTATCTGATTTTGACACAACTAAATATAATAATATGTATATCGAAAGATCTGGGTTCCTTGCGATATTGGCACACATCGGACCGTAAATTCATAAATTATTGCCCCTATTTTAATTTGTGTAAACAATCGCATTTTTACCTTGTGGACCCCTCTATGGTAACAATTTGTATCTGATTTTGATGAAACTTAAAATACATGTACATGTTTATATTCAAAATATCTCGATTCTTTTCGATAATGGCGCATATAGACCCGGAACTTCATGGATTATTGCCCGTGATTGTACGAAAAATCACTTAATTTTAAACAAAGAAGATGTTCCTCGCGTTTGAGCTAATTAAAACGAAATACGGTGGCTCGAATATATCACGGTGCACGGGCGAATTCAGAGCCCCCTCCCCCTCCCGCTCAGCTACATAAACATTTAAAACAACACCTTTTATGAGAAAAGTTTCACGCTCGTGTGGGCTTTATCCTTTATCCGAATTTTCAAGGCTGGGGTGCGGGGAAGAGCCCCCCCCCCCCCAAAAAAAAAAAAAAAAAAAAAATTGAAAAAAAAAATAAATAATAAAAAAATAATCGTCTCAGGTACCGGGCAAACCCCTTCTGCAAAAAATTCAAATCCTGGATCCGCCCGAGCCGGTGTAAAACGAAAAGAAAGAAATAAGATGTGATAGGATGTGGTGACCAAGTGGCAAGGAAAGGATAAATCCAATATTGATGGTTTCAAATTGTGTGGGGTTCAATTGCGACCAAGAAAGGAATATAATTATAATTTATGGTGACAATGGAATTAAAGGACAATATTGGTGCCAGTCATTATCACTTATGTGTTAGAGCTGGTTAAACACATTCCAAATATATTTTTAACACAGAGATCATTGCTACGATAGCTGAGTAATACAGGTTTCCCGTATCGGAAGTGACGAACGTCAAAGGAAAACACGAGTCGCTGCTCTATATAACTACTGACTGAAGCGACGAGTGATAACAGATACACGGCCGAATTTCTGCTCACTAATAATTCCTTCCAAGACCAAAAGTTGTTATATGGGACTGTAAGAGGATATCTGACAATTCAATAAAGTAATTGAATGTCATTAGATAAGAGAACACGAGAAAAATAGAAATAGTCCGTACATTTCCTTGTTTATATTCATTCTATACCTTATAAAAACATGGTAATGCACGGACTTTTTCTGTTTTTATTACGTGTTCTCTTATCTAGTGGCAGTCAATTCTTTTTATGAATTGTCAGATATCCTCTCGCAGTCTCACACAATAACTTTTGGTCTTCGAATGAATTATTAGTGAGCAGAAATTCGGCCGTGTATATGTTATCACTCGTCGCTTCAGTCAGTTATAAGATAGAGCGGTGACTCGTGTTTTCCTTTAGCGTTCGTCACTTCCGATACGGGAAACCTGTATTACTCAGCTATCGTAGCAATGATCTCTGTGTTAAAAGTATATTTGGAATGTGTTTAACCATCTCTAACACATATGTGATAATGACTGGCACCAATATTATCCTTTAAAAGGTTGGGCTTTAGAAAACTACCAAACCCGTGCAGGGCTCGGGAACAAACGCGGCAAATCCGTGATGTAAAGCTGAAACAATTCTATTAGCTGCAAAATCAAATTTCATTCGTGTTAGAAGGTCACGTATGTACCCATTTCTCATGTTGTAAAACTGCCATGATATAACAAATTTAATCAGCACATTAAACTCCACGTGAACGGCATAGTGAATCTCCGAATCTCGTGACATTCAAGCAACAAACACCTTTAGATATTAAAGAACAATATTGGTGTCAGTCATTATCACATGTGATAGAATTGGTTAAACGCGTCCCAAATATAAGTTTTAACACAGAGATCATTGCTACGATAGATTTGTTACGAAGCTTTCAAGAAAGGGAATTGACGAACGCAAAAGGAAAACACGATTTATCCTTCTACTATGAGAGGTTATCTGACAATTCAAAAAAATAATTGACTGTCACTAGATAAGAGTGAGAGAGGGGGGAGAGAGAGAGAGAGGGGGAAAATGAAATGGGGTTTAACGTCCTACTGTTCTGCTCCTGTACTGGGCTAATGAAGACGGGCATATGCCATACAGTGTGCTATGAGTGTGTTATATCGAATTCCAATGTATACACGGGACCTCGGTTTTTCGTCTCATCCGAAGGACTAGACAGCTGTCCTTGTCAGGCCCTCCGTTCTGCACCACTGACAAGGGGAAACCACGTCGGAAAATCCAGATGAACTTTCTCGGCCAATGCAGGGATCGAACACCCGACCTCCAGGCTAGCAAGCCAGCGTCTTAACCACCAAGCCACCGTGGCTCCCAAGAGAGAGAGGGTTAACGTCCACTCGACACAAAGTAGGTCATTTCGGGAATAACATTGTTTAACTTTATTTCAATAATTCGCTTGCGCGTAGAGGTCTTTAGCAGTGGGAGGAAATCGGAGGACCCGGAGAAAACCCACGAGGTTGGACAGGCGATCCTACTCCTTGTCACGTACAACCGGGGATTCGAAACCACGCCAGTTGACTCAATTACAGACCTTATGATACAGCGTGCACGTGCTAACCATTCGGCCATCCACCCCCACCCCCACTAGATAAGAAAAAACGAGAAAAAACGAGAAAAATAGAAAAGGTCCGTGCATTACCATGTTTTTATTAAGTATGAATGAATAAAAACAAGGGAATATTAAACCTTTAGATATAAAAGAAAACGTAATTATTATTAATTAAATGTAAATAGTCATTGAAATTGAATGAGCATCTGATAGAACACGGAAATTCCCGATAAACAGTGAATAATAACAATATTTTCTGCACGCAGTCTGATTTAAAATTACTGATGACACGTGATATGCACATATTACCTGTATTGCATAGTGTAGCATAAATTCAATGAAAATGAAATGGAGTTTAACGTCCTACTTTTCTGCACCGACTGGGCTAATTAATGAAGTCGAGCAGACGCCGAAAGGGAAATTTCGCCCGGGCGGCGGCGCTACAGCCTACTCTTAATTAAGCCTATATCAAATTCCAACTGTCAAGGGTTCGTTTACATGCACACCAATGTGTACGCGGGACCTCATTTTTCGTCCCACCCAAACGACTAGGCAGCTGTCCCAGGTCACGCCTTAGTCCTACACCACTAACAAAGGGGACCTAAATCCCGATGAACTTTGTCGGCCAAAACCTGGATTGAACACAGGAAATCCAGGTTAGCGAGCCAACATCTTACTAACTGAGCCACCGCAGCTCTCTACCTGTATAGCCGTTGAGTTACAGTTGGAATTAGATCAGCACGACAACAATCTGTTTGTTTGTGCGAGTGAAATAAGTTTATTTAACGTCTGCTTCCACCGAGGTGATATCGCACACAATTACATGTTATATGTACAGAGTGAAATTATTTACAGGGTTATTAGCGAAAACAAATTGAGAGAGAGAGAGAGAGAAATGGGGTTTAACGTCCACTCGACACAGACTAGGTCATTTCGGGACTAAAATATGGTTCAATTATATTTTCATAATTCGCTTGCGCGTAGGGGTCTTTAGCAGTGGGAGGAAACTGGAGGGCCCGGGGAAAACCCACGGGGTTGGACAGGCGACCCTACTCCTTGTCACGTACAACCGGGGATCGAAACCACGCCAGATGACTCAATGACAGACTTTATGGTACAGCGCGCACGTGCTAACCATTCAGCCATAAAAAAAAATTGAAAGGATTATTAGATATTTATATAAATATGTACAGCACAAGTAGAACAATTAATGACGGGACGATACGGTGCTAAAACTAAAAAAGAAGTGCTACTAGTGACAAACATAGACATTTTACAGACACATATCATGCAGCACAACACGAACATTTGACAAAGCAAACATGAATACGGACGAACATTGAGACAAATAAACATAGAATGTACATATATATATATGTGTGTATAAGTCATTTCTGTCGGTCTGGTCAATTTGTCCGGTTGAATAGCAGTACAGTTCAAATATTCCTTCGGTCTTGTTGGTGAGTGTGGTCCATTCTTCCTTCCATTTGGTTTTATTGTCCGATATGGTAGTTCATTTCATCTTCGTTCCTTTTGTAGTTGGTTCTCTAAAGGAAGAATCAGCAACGATATATATTTACCAATATAAATTATTATTTCATACACATGCTGGATTGTTTAAAATAGCGTCAATTAGTGAATGCGTATGGAATTTTATTTTATGAAGCAATTTCAGTTATGGTTGTCACCGGAACTCGTGCACATGGTATATTACAATAAGTATGACGCTACATCAAAGCCATGATAATTAGCTTGACAATCGCTATTGACAATGGGGGATAATGGTGGTCTGCTACCGCCTGAACATGCGAACGTTCTTCTCTCCCTTTACTTACCCAAAGGAATAGGGGCGCTGCTTACTATTCGTCCGCCATGTTGGTTTCTAATGACAACAAAATAATTCGAAGTCTCTAGGATTTGTACACCAACTTTAGATTATTTAGTGGACTTGGTGTAGTTGCTGTTAGTTATATTTCTGAAAACCACCAGACAGACTTGAGTCTGTAAAAACATCAGTATGGCAGATCTTCGCGAAGAATTCAATACACTAAAACTCGAGAGAATTATTGGTTTTAATGGTAAGTAGCCTACCGCAGTACCGGTGCTGAGTCAGTGACTGTCAGTGTACTGTAACCATAGGTAATCTACGGACATGGGGTAAAGCAGGCTGGCTTCTTTTCTTTAGAATAAGAATATCCCTATTTAATAATTCAGTAGACTTTTTAGGCTAGGACTATCTCGCTTTAGTTTCACTTGTTGATGATTTAATGGGATAGGCCTAGGCCTAGTTAGTATAATTTAAAGGAGCTAAATCGCTAACATTTGGGACCAAGAAATTGACAAAAGTGGGTCGCAACGCATATATTACTGTAATATGAATGTATATAAACTGATTTACATTCAATGGTTTCCGTTTTTACTCCAATTTCAAATCAGTTATGTTCGGCGAAATAAGCCAGCGGCAGCAGTCTCAAGCGAGTGCAAATTTCTAGTGTCTGGTTATTCCAGTCTACATACGCCATTTAATTTGGTGCAATGTGTCTAGCCTCGTCCCTCGAGTCTCTTGATATAACTGGGGCTGAAGGGCATTATGGTACACGATTCGTGTACCAATGGTAAAATGTTTATTATTTTGTCTTAAATATTGGATATCAAAAGCCCATCTTTTTCCGGTAAGATCACAACATCAATGTTGATTTAATTTGACAAATAAATCGTGTTTTCAATGTTGAAGATTTTGGATGATATTGAGTTAGAGACTTAGCTACTTTAAGTTAATAGTGTTGAGTTGAAGCCAAAATTTAAACTAAATTAATTATTAGTAAACAGGTTGTTTTTGCCATATAGGCTAGGCCTGTATTTTTAATATTTCAAAATAAGATTTTTTTAAATCATATTCATAATCATATGATATTTAGAAATGATTCCACTAGTTCAGCTCTGAGCGTAGGTCACACTCGCCCTGGCCTGTACGTTCAGGAACCATCCTATGGAATCCTTGTCGAAATTAAATCGACTCTCAATTTTATTGGGCAACTTTTTACTGCTAAACGGTTGTGTGTTAGTCTCAGTGAAAGCCTGAACAATGTAAAGGCACATTTAAGGAAGTGGATAAACAACCGGATTCGGTTCCTTACGAAAATTTACTACGAAACCGGATATCGTCTCTGATTGGCCAATTTCATCACATGGTTATTCTATCGCGATAGGTTCGGTTCTAACCCTAACCCTCTCTTTCTTGCATTTTCTAATGTCCGCGTATCTCTTCGCCAATATGTCACTATTGATTCTTAAATTCAAATTGTTTCATCGCCTTAAAAGTGAATTTAGAGTCGTAAATTCAGCACCAAGTAGGATGCTTGTATAGGCCGCCATATTGGAATAGGCCGCTAATAACCACGTGATAAAATTGGCCAATCAGAGACGATATCCGGTTTCGTAGTAAACATTTCGTCAGGAACAGAATCCGGTCGTTTATCCACTTCCAACATTTTAGTGAGGAAATAAGACCTTGCTTACCTCGCTCGAGTCAGTATGTGCAACATAACATGCTCAGGATCATGCTGTTAAAAATACGTCCCCTTTCTGCTTAACGGCTTGACACATGACCGTTTAGCAGTAAAAAGTTGCCCAGTAAAATTCACTGGGAGACGATTTTATTTCGACAAGGATTCAATAGGACGATCCCTGAATGTACAGGGCGAGAGTAATGAGAGCTACGTTCAGAGCAGAACTATGGTTCCACTAGCCTACTGATGAGAATTTTGCATTTGAAGAATATCTATCAGGTTGTTTATTTTGATTTTCGGTGATATTCATTAATTATAACTTATAATTTATAAAAATATTTTCAGGCTCTGTGGTCGGTGGATTAAAAATGCACCCGGATAGAAAGCACTTAATATACCCATTAGGTTGCAATATAATCATTGAAGATATTTCCACAGATTGTTCTCAAAGAATACTGTCAAAACATACTGATGAAGTTACCTGCTTGGCTATATCCAAATCTGGAAAATATCTTGCAACAGGTCAAGTGACACACATGGGATTTAAGGTAAAGATATTATAGTCTCACTAAACTACTCTAAAGTTCCTGCATTACCGTAGTCCATCAGGACTATGTGATTATGGTTCCTGCTTAAATATCAATAAAACATAATTTCTGTGACTGAGCTTATAATTACTAGCCTCAATAAATTATAATGTTTCTAGTCAGCCTAGAAAGTAAAATTTTGAAAAAAATATAGGAAATAAACAATATTCTACCATTGAAGTCCATTACACAGTTGACAAATTTACATCAGGTTGATTAGGCTTCTTAATCCATTTTGAAATGAACCAGCCACGGGTAGGCCTAACAGATAGTCGTCTTTTCAACAACAAACATGTTGGTTTATGCATACTCTATTCACGACAGTACTACTATATGTCCCATCATATTTTATATTTTTTCATTATTATTCATTACTTTAATAATAGAGACTAGAGAAGCTTAATTAAAATGTTCAGCACACTAATAAACAGTACTAATTGTAAAATGGATGGGAAATCTTCCTTTGTTCTTTTAGTTGAATAAGCAGATTGTTTTCCCTCTAGTAGATTGGGTGGAGCTTAACCGTGCAATAAATAGACATGTCCAATGTTATTGCACACTTTTGCTTCTTTACACTAGTATTCGTAGAAATCAGGGGGGGGGGGGGGTTGGCTGAACGGTTAGCATGTGAGCATCATTGAGTCAACTGGCGTGGTTTCGAATCCCCGGTTGTACGTGACAAGGAGTAAGGTCGTCTGTCTAACCTCAGGGGTTTCCTCCCACTGTTAAAGACTCCTAAGCGCAAGCGAATTATTGAAATAAAATTGAACCATATGTTAGTCCTAAAATGACCTAGTATGTGTCGAGTGGACGTTAAACCCCATTTCTCTCTCTTGTAGAAATCATAGAGAAGTGGGGTGGGTTTTCTGTGCAATAACAACAAGCATGTTGAGCAGTTGTCAATGTTACAGGACATTTATAGCATGCTTCATTCGTTAACAGGTTTAACACCTCGGCCTACGGCCTCTAGTTAAACCTGTTAACTCATGAAAGCCATGCTATATATATAACTTGTATCCTGTAGAATTGTTCTCTGTATTTCCAGTTCAATTACTAAATGCCACTGAAACATTTTACTGTAAACTTATTTTTTCCCCATTATTTTAGGCTACAATCATTATCTGGGACTACGCAAGAGGAGAACCAATTCATAATTTGCCTTTACTGCATAAAGTAAAAGTTGAATCTCTAACTTTTTCCTGTGAAGACCGCTACCTTATATCATTAGGTGGACAGGATGATGGATCGTAAGTTTATTTCATGGAAGTTGTCATGTCTAATGCATTCCAAATTTGGTGATTTTGAGATATTTTACTATTCATTTTGGGCTTTATATCTCCTTTCTCTGTAAGGGGTGGGGGGTGGATGGCTGAATGGTTAGCACGTGCACGTTGTATCATAATATGGTCTGTCATTGACTCTCTCTGTGTAAATTTTGTTTCCATGTGTAACATTTTTCAAAAGTTATTGGCAATAGAATTAATCAGTGAAAATTTGTTAGGCTTGCTGATTAAATAGTGTAAAAACATTATACTAATTGCGTTTGAAAATAGATATTGCCTGAATAACTGGGGCTATATTTATGCATGCCACAAAGACTGGCCTTAAAATGACTAGATCACAGAGGTCCTGGCAAGTAACAGTATCTATTTGTTTGCTTGGGTCGAAAATCTGAGGTCCTTATATTAATTCATTATCTTTACAGTGTGGTGGTGTGGGATACAATAACAGGAGAGGCGATATGTGGATCTCAAGCACAAGTTAAAAGTGCTGGAAATACATACTGTGTTTGTGCTTCAAACAGTAAAGATGATGTATTTGTAACAGGTGGAGAGTAAGTACAGTATATCATAACTTACTAATTTTCACTTTAATTTACTTTAAACAGGCATTATGGGAGATTAGATAAAGAGTTGACTCTTCTCGCTATAATAGTTAAAAAATAAATAATGTAAATAGAATATGTTGAAAATTCAGTCAAATTGCTCCACTCTGAACTGAGATATTAGCTTTTGAATTTTAAGCCTAGCCTCGATCATCATGATAAAAAACAGTATCATTAGCAGCAGATCAAATTCAAATCCAGTGAAAATCAGACACATAAGATGACATTGCGAGTTAATTATGGTTTGGATAAGTTAATTAATGTCTAATTAATAGTTTATGTAACATTTCTGGCCTAAAGAAAGACCTGCAATAGAAAGATTTAGTTCTTGTATAATGTATGTTTAATTGAAGAAATGACAATTTTAGAAACAACATTAACCCAAGTAGCAAACAAGATTATTTGAGATTTGCCCGCAGTGCTTTTCAAATTGTTAACAATTAATTTTTTTTTAAAAATATTTTTAGAAATACTCTGAGAGTTTGGCAGTTAGATGTAGAAAATCGTAAAATTCGACCGACAGACGTAAATTTGGGAGGTTTAAAAAGAATAGTAAAATGTATTGAGGTGAGTTGATTTTTTAGCGTGTAATTGTTAAACTTTATAACAATGATCTATTTCTGAATTATGTCCAGAGGGACACTCACTGAATTACACTACATATTTCGTTCTCATTATAGGGGCCCCAGGGGGTTGGGTTCTGAATGGTCAGACACATGCGCTTTAGATCACAATGTCTGTCATTAGAGTCAACTGGCGTGGTTTCGATTTCCATCTTGTATGGGGAGGGGGGGTTGGATGGCCGAATGGTTAGCATGTGCGCGCTATATCATAAGGCCTGTCATTGAGTCAACTGGCATGGTTTCGAATCCCCGGTTGTACGTGACAAGGAGTAGGGTCGTCTTTCCAACCTCGTGGGTTTTCTCTGGGTCCTCCGGTTTCCTCCCACTGCTGAAGACCCCTATACACAAGCAAATTATTGAAATAAAATTAAACCATATGTTAGTCCCAACATGACCTAGTTTGTGTCGAGTGGACTTTAAACCCCATTTCTCTCTCTCTCCTTCTTGTATGTGAAGAGGAGTAGAGTCAGCTGTTCAACTGCATGTTTTCTCTGGTTTCGTCTCGCTGCTCAAGACTCTTTAAGCGCATCGAATTATTGAAATAATCATATTTTAGTCCCGAAATGGACTTTTTTTCTGGAGTGGGCATTAATAAACCCCAATTTTCTCCCTCTCTCATTATATAATTATTTTTTGTCAGATGGTTGATGAGCAAGATCCTCCATATTTCTTCTGTGGAACCACAACCGGTGATATTCTTGTTGTCAACATGGACTCCCAGCGTCTGCAGTTTGTTGTTCCAGAGAAAAATAAATTCAGCCTCGGGGTGACTGCATTAGCGTTTGTTAGAATTTCGGAAAGAGATGAACACTTGAACAGAGATGGCACCAAAACATGTTTACCCACATTTGAATTTTTGGTTGGAGCAGGGGATGGGGAACTTGGAGAATATAAGATAAAATTGTCTGTTCAGGCCAACAAAGTAAAGGCAACAATGGTTCACAAACAAAATGTCAAGTAAGTATTATTGGTTAATTAAACTGTTGTAGGATTTTAAAGGATATCCTTGTAATTATTGTCTGTCATTAGTGTTAGATACAATCTGATTTAAATACAGATCTATATTTTGTTTCGTTTTTTTATACTTTCGATGGCCTACACTACATGAAGATCTGACCAGTGTTGAAAGTGGAATCAACATTAAACAAAAATTCAAAATTCAGTTCTGTTACAGAAAATCCAATCCGATTACAATGCAGATCCTATTTTGTTTTGTATTTTATGGTTCAAAATTTTATTTAATTGTCTTCACTACACTAGGATCTGGAAGTGTTGTTAAATAACTCGCGTTCTAGTTGATGTATGGGATTAACCAAACAAATGATCAGTTGAGTTGAGTTCTTGTTGCATGGCACGTGGAACTGTGGGTATACATTCACAGCTATAGAAAACAAAACTGGTGTCATAGGGTCATAGGTCAGATCTTCATCAGACAGCAGATAATCATCCGGCCTTTAGAATGTTTACAAATTTTTAATTAAGAACAGTAACATGGCGACTTATTTTCTATTTCAGACCCTGGAGAGATACCTCGTTCAAAAATAAATGTAATTCCATAACATCAATAGCGCTAAGAGGTGGAGGCCACCAGGTATGTGTTCGTATGAAGTCTTTTTATGCCATGTTAAATTAATTTTTAAACGTTCCTTTCTTTCATAAATTTGCTGGCCCCAAAAAATATTTATTCATAATTTTCATATAAAGTTTGTTAATTTTTTAAATTTTCCTTTCTTTCATTAATTTGCTGGCCTCTAAAATTATTTATTCATAAACAATTAAATCATGATTTTTGCAGTTTTTCGTTGGCAGTGGTCATTCCCAGATCTACAGATTCAATTATGCGGAATTCAAATGTGAACTAACCAAAACCTGCCATTCCAAACAAGTTAATGATGCAGTTTTTCCATTGTGAGTTTTTATTATTATATACTTTTAGAATTTGTTCTTTAAAAACCATTTTAGTAGATGCAGTGATGTAGACATTGCTAAATGTAGGGGTGTTCTAGAATATTGGGGTGGGGGGGTGGTCAAATGGTTAGCGTGTGCACGTTGGATCAGAAAGTCTATCATTGAGTCAAGTGGTGTGGTTTCGATTCCCCACTTGTACTTGACAAGGAGTAGGGTCGTCTTTCCAACCTCGTGGGTTTTCTCTGGGTCCTCCGGTTTCCTCCCACTGCTGAAGACCCCTACGCGCACGCAAATTATTGAAATAAAATTGAACCATATGTTAGTCCCGAAATGACCTAGTTTGTGTCGAGTGGAAGTTAAACCCCATTTTTCTCTCTAGAAGATTGTTCAGTGGACAAAATAATAAGGTGAAATGAAATAAAATGGGGTTTAACATCCTACATCTATAACAGGGCTAATAAAGAGATTTGCAATTATAAAGGAAGGATAAACACACATGCCCGTCTTCATTAGGCCAGTAGGACGTAAAACCCCTACTATATCAATCCATAATTTTGATTTAATGAAATTTTATGTTTTTTTTCAGTGGAACATCAGAACTGATTGTAACATGTCAAGATGAAGAAATACGAATCTGGCAGTTATCAACTGGTAAAGAAATTCGACGACATGTTGTTTCTAATTTAACCTGTAATGCTGTGTGTATAACAAGGGATGGTTCCAGTATCTACTCAGGTATGTTTTGTGTCGAGTGGACATTAAACCTCACTTCTCTCTCTCTCATTAAAACAATAGGACGTTAAAGCCCTAAAGATTAAAGATACATTATGGCAGATTAGATAGAGCTGGCAGTTCTCACTATAATAGTTAAAACTAAATAATGTAAAGGGAATTTGCTGAAAATTTCAGTCAAATTGATCCACTCTGAACCAAGAATTTAGCGATTGAATTTTTGGCCTAGCCGTGAACATCATTACTAAAGTAGGTACGATAAAAAAAACAGTCTCGATTATCCATTTCATGATTAAATCATGAATGAAAGTTGACTAGCAAATCGGATCCTAATTCAGTAAATATCGCAGGCTAGCGATGACATCGAGAGTTGATTATGGTCTGGATAAGTTAATTAATGTATAATTAATAATTTAGATAACATTTCAGACCTGAAATAGGTAGATTTAGCTCTTGCATAATGTATGATTAATCTAGGGAATAACTATAGTGGATATTTTCTCTTGTGTTTATGAATTTGTTTATTTTTCAGCTTGGGCTGATGGTAAAATAAGAGCGTTTGGATTTGATCCCAAGACATCGAACATAGTGGACAAATGTGTTATAAATGAAGCCCACAATAAAGGTGTAACGGCTATAGCCTGTACATCAGATGGTAGATGTATTATTAGTGGCGGGGGCGAAGGACAAGTAAGGATTTGGTCCATACAAGAAAATTACGATGCCCGTGGAAAGAAAGTCTACAGAGGCGTTCTAATTGAAACGATGAAAGAACATAAAGGTTCTGTATCAGCAATCAAGGTTCGAGACAATGACAAAGAATGTACATCTGCTAGTACAGATGGTACCTGCATCATATGGGATCTAGAGTAAGTTGATGAACAAATCATTAGTGCACTTTGTGCTTGTTTTCTTAAAGTTACAATTTCATATTTTTAAGTTATATTTTTAAAATTTATTAAAATAAAGCCTTAAAATAGATGGTATCTATAAACAGTCCTACCTTGTTAAAAAATAATCCTATTAATCCTATAATTCACTATTGCCAGTTGAGAAATTGGCAAAAATATCATTTTCATCGACAAATTCAAACGTTTGAGAATAGAAAACAAGGGAGGTAATTGTGTTATTATTTCCGGTGTAAATGAGTTTTAAGTGTGAGAATGACACCTATGATCGTATAATAGTGAGTTGACAACCTATTAAGCAAAAGACATAGAAATAATTATGTTTTGACTTTCTTAGAAAATATGAAATTGTAACTTTAAATTATTGTAATGAATTATAAACAATCACAGATCATGCAATCTGATTAAAAATACACATCTATATTTCGTTTTGTTTTTTTTTATACTTTTGATGGCCTACACTACACGAAGATCTGACCAGTTGTAGTGGGAGGTCGTGTCAGGGGTCATAGGAGTGGCTTTGACCCTATGATGTCAGACATTTGATTAACCAAATTGTGCACATAAAAAAATTAAGTATAGATAAATTAATGCCTTATAAAATCTTGTTGAAAGTAGAGCCATAGTTTTAACTATTCACATGATCTGCAATCTGATTAAAACACAGATCCTATTTCGTTTCGTTTTTTTTATAAATTATAGTTCAAAATTTTGTTTTACTTGTCTTTACTACACTACCGGCGTTTTAGTTAATGTGAGGGATTAGCCAATGAAACAGTCTGTTACAGCGAGTTTTTGGCGTGAGGTGCAGGGACTGTGGGTAAACCACAAGAAACAGAAACGCTGATCTTCATGTAGTGTAGGACATCGAAAGTATAAAAAAAATGAAACGATGTGTAGATCTGTATTTTAATTAGATTGAGTTAAAAGCAGTTAAATGCACATTTGATTTACTGATTTTATTATGTTGATTATCTTTTTATACAGAGTCTTAATCGGATTCATTTATTTCTTTTTCAGAAAAAAAGTTAGAAGTCAGATTGTTTTCGCCAATACATTATTCCAGTGTGTTGGTTATGGAGCTGATGCCTGCCATATTGTGACTTGTGGCACTGATAGGAAAATTGGTTACTGGGAAACATTTGATGGTTCTCTGATTAGAGAACTAGATGGTTCTTTAGCTGGTGCTATAAATGCTTTGGATACATCCCCAGATGGAAAATACTTTGTTACTGGTGGAGAAGAGAAGTTGTTAAAGGTTATTATCTTTCATTATCTTTGTTATTACATTCTTATATATTATTCAAAAAAGGGAGGTTGGATGGCTGAATATACTGACGTCCAAAAGAAAGTATACACACTAAAAGTATGACTAAGTTTTGTTTAGATTAAAAACATTTGATAAAGCATTATTGAGTTTGTCTCTTGCGTCCAAACTCAACATTTCTAAGCAAAATAAAAATGTGAAACAAATTGACATTCTACCCTAATACCGTATACCATGGAAAAACGACTTTGGTTGATGCAGCACAAAATGCACAGTGTATACTTTCTTTTGAACGTTAGTATAGTTAACATGTGCGCGCTGCATCATAAGGTCTGTCATTGAGTCAACTGGCGTGGTTTCGATTACCCCGATTTATGGACAAGGAGTAGGGTCACCTGTCCAACCTTGTGGGTTTTCTCCGGTTTCCTCTCACTGCTAAAGACCCCTACGTGCAAGTGAATTATTGAAATAAAATTGAACCATGTGTTAGTTCCGAAATGACCTAGTTTTTGTCGAGTGGACGTTAAACCCCATTTCTCTCTCTCTTACTTCATATATTCAAAATATATTTTTATGTTTTATAAATATTTAACAGCTGTTAATCTAGGGGTAAAAAAAATAATGCAGTTGCATTGCAAGATTCTATTCATCTTTATATCGGCATTTGTTCAAAGAACCTTTAAATATTTGAGGTACACATTAATTTGTAAACTTGTGGATTATTTTCTCCCTGTTAAAGATACATTATGGGAGATCAGTTAACGAGATGGCAGTTCTCGCTATAATAGTTAAAAACTTGATAGTGTAAAGGTAATTTGCTGAAAATTTCAGTCAAATTGATCCACTATGAGCCGAGAACGAAGTGGGTGAAATTTTCGCATAGTCTCGGTCATCATTACTAAAATCATTAATATAAACAGCATAGTCTCGATTATCCACTGTTTTGATTTAATTATCAATGGCCGTTAAGCGGTATATAGGAATCTAATCCAGCCAACATCGAAGGCTAGCCTTGACATCCAGAGTTTATTATGGTCTGGATAAGTTAATTAATGTCTAATTGATAATTTAGATAACATTTCAGGCCTAAAGAAAGACTTGTAATAAGCAGATTTTGCTCTTGCATAATGCATGTTTAATGTATGCCTTAAATATTTGAGGTACACATTTGTAAACATGCATTATGCAAGAGCTAAATCTGCCAATTGCAGGTCTTTCTTTAGGTCTGAAATGTTATCTAAATTATTTAGACATTAATTAACTTATCCAGACTATAATCAACTCTCGATGGCATCTCTAGGCTGTGATATTTATTGGATTAGAACTCAGTCTGCTGCTTTTGATTAAATAAAAAAATGGATAATCGAGACTGTTTTTTTATCGTACCGACTTTAGTAATAATGATCGAGACTAGACCCAAAATTCAATCTCTAAATACTTGGTTCAGGGTGGATCAATTTGACTGAAATTTTCAGCAAATTCCCTTTACATTATCTTGCTTTTAACTATTATAGTGAAAACTACCAGCTCTTTATCTAATCTCCCATAATGTATCTTTAATGTATGCCTTGAAAGAAAACTAAAAAAACATTAAAGTTATCATTAATGAATCCTATTTTTTATGTTTCAGGTGTGGAGGTATGATGAAGGAGAAGTTACCAATGTTGGTATTGGACACAGTGCAGCTATTACTAAAGTCCGAATTTGTCCTAACCAAAGGTACATTATCAGTGTTGGCCAAGATGGAGCTATTTTAGTATGGAAATTTCCCAATTACTAAAACATGAAGAATAGAGTTCTCATTTATATTTGCAAAAATTGCTCCTATCATATTTCATAATTTATTATCACCTCAATTCAAAACATTACACGGTTTACAATTCAAAGAAATTATTACCTACAGAATATTTGAAGAGCCCCGGGGAAGAACGATCTAAGTCACTTTTTCAGTGAACCCCAGTTAATGGCGTCATCTAGAAGCAAATTGTATAAGCTTTCTGTGGAAAAATCAATTTCAGGTAAAAACAATCAGAGTCACATTGAAACCAAGGCCCTTGTGAAATGGCCTCCTGGACAAATACGCCCATCATACCCTTTATTTGACCTTAATTTGGCTGAAAAGTGGAAGTCAGTTGTTGTACTGGTATTAAACATCATTTGAAGTTGTTATTAAACCCACTCGTTGTTCTGTTCGCGCCAAGTATTCTCGTCCAAAAGTCTGTTTTGCCTTTTATGCAAAATGACAAAAGTGTGACTTAGATCGTTCTTCCCCTGGACTCTTCATTTGCTTACATTCTAAAATTAAATTTTTACAACTCATTTTGTACATACATTTCCAAAATTGATTTAAATTTTAATATTTATTACACATGAAAACTTATTTTCAAAGTGATTTATCTTTCTTCCGTTTTAAAATATCCAACTGTCATTTTATATAATATTTTTACGTCTTGAAGTTGTCCTAATTGTATATATAAGGGAAATGTAACTTAATAAATATTTATTGAAAAAGTGGTTATTGCTTAAAATGATAATTCTTCAACAGTCAAACCCCTGAATATATAACCATTGACTGACAACCTTATTCAGATTACTGGGGAAATGTTTTAACATACGTGTGGCTACAGTATGTAGGATACTTGTAAAACAATGAATGATGAGCACAATTAAACATACCTGAATAAATATACATTATGCAAGAGATAAATCTGCCTATTGCAGGTCTGTCTGCAATTAGACATTTATTAACATGAAAAGACCTTAATCAACTCTCAGTGCCATCTTATGTGTTGAGAATTTTCACTGGATTTGAATCCGATCTGCTGATGATTAAATCCAAAAATGGATAATCAAGATTTTGTTTTTTTATCATACCAACTTTAGTAATGATGATCGAGACTAGACCTAAAATTCAATTGCTAATATCTCCATGGGCGTATAAAAAGTAGGTGAGGTACTGACTTTTTCCTCTTGTTAACAACAGAACATTATATCCTCTCCCCATATAAATTGGGTCAAATGGGGTCCCAGTAGGAAATGGGGTAATTATAAGCTTAATTCCCTTAAATATAGCCATACATCAACAAAAATAATTCTTGGTAATTTTCTATGGACAATGTCATATCCTAATGTATGTGATTACCACAATAATAATGACACATATTGTATTTGTTGATGAATGGACCAACTTTAAAAGTCCCTCACACATCCATTGACAAAGAGAGAGAAATGGGGTTTAACGTCCACTCGACACAAACTAGGTCATTTCGGAACTAACACATGATTCAATTTTATTTCAATAATTCACATGCGCGTAGGGATCTTTAGCAGTGGGAGGAAACCGGAGAAAACCCACAAGGTTGGACAGGTGACCCTACTCCTTGTCACGTACAAACGGGGAATCGAAACCCTGCCAGTTGACTCAATGACAGACCTTATGATACAGCACGCACATGCTAACCAATCGGCGATCCCCCCAATTGACAAAGAAATAAACTAAATGTTTTTAATTTATGGTTGTATTTTATTTGATGTGTGACCTATATACAATGTATATACAGAAATACTTTTTACAAATTTTGAAATAAATTAAAGCTTGCTGTCATCCCCATGCTTGTGTTTTACAATAATGTAACACCAATTTTCCATCACTACCAAAAGACTGAAAATACAGAATTGATAGAAGTATAAATGGTAAAGATAGATTGTCAGGCCACAACAGTGCATTGTAGGTGATTGGAGACACTAAAAACTGATCATGGACAATAGAGAGAGAGAGAAATGGGGTTTAAGTCCACTGACAGAAATTAGGTCATTTCAGGACTTACATGTAAATATGGTTCAACTTTATTTCAATAATGCGCTTGTGCGTAGTGGTTTTTAGCAGTGGGAGGACCCAGAGAAAAGCCACGAGGTTGGACAGACTACCCTACTCCTTGTCGGGGAATTGAAACCACACCTGTTGACTCAATGATAGACTCTAGGATACAATGCGCACATGCTAACCATTCGGCCACCCAACCCACCCTGATCATGGACCCATCCAACTAAACGGCTACCAACCCAACCCACCCAGATCATGGACCCATGAAGCAATTACCAGAAATAATTAAAATTTGATTGGCTTCTTGTTCTTTCTTGAACTAATATAATTAAAACATGTACTGGTAATTGGATGATGACTTAAAGATACATTATGGGAGATTAGATATAAGTTGGTAGTTAAAAACTAGATAGTGTAAAGGCAATTTGCTGAAAATTTCATCAGATTGATCCACTATGAACTGAGAATGAAGCGATTGAAATTTCAGCCTAGCCTTGATCATCATTACTAAAATCTGTACGATAAAAAACATAGTCTTGATGATCCATTTCATGATTAAATTATGAATCGAAGTTGAGCAGCAAATGGTATCTTAATCCAGTAAATATCGCAGGCTATCGATGCCATCTAGAGTTGATTATGGTCTGGATAAGTTAATTAATGTCTAATTAATAATTTAGATAACATTTCAGGCCTAAAGAAAGACCTGCCATTGGCAGATTTAGTTCTTGCATAATGTATGTTTAAAGTCCTGTGGTGCCAAACTACAATATTGTGAAAGATGAATCTCTTATATGAATATCAGTCAAAAAATGGTTCATTCCATTCAGTATTTACAAAGATATGTGGAATTTAAAATTCATCAATCTATGCTGTTTTGCTATGTAATAAGCCAGCTGCCATTTTGTTGTCTGCGAAAACTTATTGGTAGGCCTTTTTTTTATATCTGACTGAATCCAACCTGTGACATAATCTAGTGTTATTATTTTGATTTTGTTTTCTTAAATAAATATAAAATAATCAATCTGAGTGCATATTAGACTGGGGTAAGATGTCAGAAATTTGATATCTATACTAATATTTGTGAAGTTTGTCTGTCTGTCTGTTCGGGGTTGGCGGCTACACTAGGTCTGCCCCGAGTCTGAAATTTGGGGTATAGGGGTAGCTCGGACCGGGGAGTAACATAGGCCAGGTGGCGTTAGTCTACCACTTCCGGTTTCGGGGTTATGATCCCCGAGCGAAGCCGGGCATTCTTCTAGTTTAAAGGAGCTAAATCGCTAACATTTGGGACCTAGAAATTCACAAAAGTGGGTCGCAACGCATATAATACTGTAATATGAATGTATATAAACTGATTTACATTTAATGGTTTCCGTTTTTACTCCAATTTCAAATCAGTTATGTTCACCAAAATAAGTCAGCAATCTCAATCGAGTGCAAATTTCTAGCGTCTAGTTATTCTAGTCTACATAACTCCAATTGATTTGGTGCAATGTGTCTAGCCTCGTTCCTCGAGTCTCTCAATACAACTGGGGCTGAAGCGCATTATGGTACACGATTTGTGTACCAATGATAACAAAAATATTTTATCTTAAATATCGGATATCAGAAGCTCATCTTTTCCCGGTAAGTTTACATCATCAATGTTGATTTAAATTGACCAATAATTCGTGTTTTCGATGTCGAAGATTTTGGAGGATTTTGAGTTACGGACTTAGGTCCTTTAACCTTAAAGTACAAATGGAGCATGATTACTTAACCTGTTTCAAATAGATAGCTGTATGATTACAAACCATGTATATATTTTACTTACATCAAATAAAACACCAATCTCTGTATCCGGAGAGGGAGAAAAGGACTGATTTACATACAAAAACTGAAGATAAAAAAAATACACATTTGATATTATTATACTTTAACAATCCACTGGTCTGTTCCATCCTTGCATTGGCTGAGAGAGGTCATCGGGATTTTCCAACGGGGTTTCCCTTTGTCAGCTACATGTATGCAGGACGAAGCGTTTGACAATGACAGCTGTCTAGTCATTTGGATGGCACGAAAAAACAAGGTCCCGTGCATACATTGGCTGCTGTAAAATGTCCCTCATAGCACACTGTATGGCTTATGCCCGTCTTCATTAGCCCAGTCGGAGCAGAACAGTAGGACGTTAAACTCCATTTCATTTCATGTCTAATTACTAAATGTCATTAAAAAGTTTTAATGTCAAGACAAGACTCACTGCTTTAAGTCTGTTATATATTCCTGTACTGTTTGTTATGTCTATGATTAGTTGAGCCAGTTACTACCAGCACTTTAAACATTAAAGGACAATATTGGTGTCAGTCATTATCCCATATGTGATAGAACTGGTTAAACGCATTCCAAATATAATTTTAACAGAGATCATTGCTACGATAGATGTGTAATGCAGGTTTCCACAACCGGAAGTGACAAACGCAAAAGAAAAACACAAGTTATCCCTCTATATAACTGACTGAAGTGACGAGTGATAACAGATACATGGGCAAATTTCTGCTCACTTATAATTCCTTTGAAGACCAAAAGTTGTTGTGCGAGACTGAGAAAGGATATCTGACAATTCATAAAAAGAATTGACTGTCACTAGATAAGCGAACATGAAAGAAAAAAAGTGATAATATCTGGCACCAATATTGTCCTTTAATTAAATCTACTGTCATACTTACGAGAGAATCTGAAACAGTAAATTTCAGATATTTTTTTATGAATTCACTGACCCAGCAAACAGGTTTATTTCGATCAACAGCCCATTTTTTCTTCTTCATAATTGGTGCATCTCCTGCTGGTTTTAGTAAAACATCAACTACAATATAGCAAAAAAATCTGTTAACATTATATATGTCTGAAAAAATTTTTTTAACCAAAAACTAGACACTCATATATCTCTGGAAATCTATTCTAATATTTGTGAAGTTTGTCTGTCTGTTTGGGGTTGGCGGCTACACTAGGTCTGCCCCGAGTCTGAAATTTGGGGTATAGGGGTAGCTCGGACCGGGGAGTAACATAGGCCAGGTGGCGTTAGTCTACCACTTCCGGTTTCGGGGGTTATGACCCCCGAGCGAAGCCGGGCATTCTTCTAGTATTTCATTATCTACCAACCCTCCACCATTTTGTCTATGCCGTACTTGAATCTAACTCAATGTTATACCTACATGTAACTGTATGAACAAGGAATTGAGAATTGAGCTTTACCTGATATCGAGCCCAATCCTAACACTACTCACTAGCATGAAGAAACCTCTAGATCTGCCATTTAACAATCACTCCTGAGTCCTGGATATTCATTTATTACGGGACATGTAATTCTAACAGACTGGGTTAATTATCTGTCAATCAATTTTCAAGTCTAAATATACTCATCATTATTGAACACAGTCATTAATGAACAGCTACACCAAAAAGTTTGAACATTCTAGTTTCTAGACATGAAACTTGGGGTGTGTCCATCCACTGTAGAAAGGGGCTTGGTGGCAAGGAGAGAGAGAGAGAAATGGGGTTTAACGTCCACTTAAGGTTGCAGCGATACCCCGGGGATGCCGCATTATCGCGATTATTTTTTTTCAAGTGATATCGTATCGGCCAAAGTTGAATAATCGCAATCCCCGGTATTTTAGGATTTTTTTGGGCGGAGGTCGGTGCAATAAATCCA